ACTTCTAAAACCTTTAAGAAACAAAATTTCAGCCTTTAAGCCCATTTGTAGCAAATAGAGCTATTATTTTCAGGCATTTCAGAATAAGTAGCTCAAATGATCCCAAACGTGAGGTTTTTCGGACACACTAAAACATGAAGAAGCAACGGTAAATTTCAAGTACTCTATATAATCTATAAACCTTTGCTACTAAAAAGATCCAACCTTATATACGTTACAGCTTCTGCTCATTCAAGATACAGAAGTCTAAACACTTAAGCACTGTCAACAAATTAAAAAAGTAGCAAGTAAAAAACTGTTCAATTGGCTACTAGTCACAATTCAAAGCAAATGCAAACCAAATTAGTCGCCAGAACCTAATCACATACCCAAAAACATTAACCAAAATATCATTTCAACCTGCATATATTGAACAAATTCCAAATAACACAATCACCACATTCACCCACATTGCCACAGTATTCAAGCAAAAAAAAAAAAAAAGACACATAAAAAATCAAAGTATTCAGATAATTACTATTCCCATGACAAATTCCAACCTATGCTTGTTGAGCTCAGCAAGCAAAGAACTCTGCAAGGCGGCATCATTCGGATTGGCATCGGCCTCGGCGATCAAACGCTGTAGCCGTTTCTCCTGCTGCCACGGCCACCAACTCAACCACCCAGATAACCAAATGTTCTCCAACTTTTTTTTAAAATTGACCCAAACTCCCACCAAAAACACCACTATTGCCAATTTACCCTCTTCCCCCTTTTTCTCCCCCACAAAACCCTCATTCTCCTCTTCACTTTCTCTCTCCCCAATTCTTGAAGCAGTTTCCTCATTACCACTATCACTACTACTGCTAATACTAGGGTTTTCAAGCTCCTGGTCCCCATTTTTACCATCAAATTCAAGGAAAGAATCAGAATTCGAGGAGCTGGGTTTTTCAATTGAGTCAGAATTTGAGCTAATGTGGGGGTTTTGAGGGTGTAATGCGCAACAACTAATGGAAAATTTACGAGAACGAGAGATGCAATAGTTTAGGGCAAAAGAATGAGAAAATAGAGGGCGTAAACGAAGAATTGGGGATAAACTGATTAAAGGGACATAATTTGGGGGTTTGAACAAAAGAGAAGCCTGCAATGTCGTCATAATTGTTCTTCTGCTTCTGGGTTTTTCTGGGTTTATTGGGTTTTCAAAGATATTGAATTGAAAGATGTCTCCTTCTCCCTCCTTCAAGGAGGTGTAACAATGGAGGAGAGAGAAAGAGGAAGAAGAAGAAGGGTAGAGAGTAAAAACCTTATCTTTGGAGGGATTGGATTGGGTTGATTGAAATTGGCGCCTGGTGAGTCGAGTGAGTGGTGAAAGTGTACAACTCGGTCGAGTCAACAACTGTTGTTAGTTCAAGGAAAGATTAGGGAAGTTGGGAAGTAGGGACAAAGAATCGTTTGGTTTCTTCTTGTGGAAATTTTGTATCCTCTTCTTCTTCACACGTTAATTGTTGTTGTCGTGGGACTATTAAATTGAGGTTTTGGTTTGGATTATTATATGATGACGATAAGTTGTAAAATATCGCAATAGGAAAGGTAAATCATAAAAATTCAAATCTACAATATACAAATGAACCTAAAATATATAAATGAACTTGTTTGCAATGTTTATAATATACAAATGAACTTATTTACTTACAATGTTTGCAAATAAACCTAATATTTACCATGTTTGGTTGTAGGGAGAAGACATGTTTTTATGGCTTTTTCAATTTGACCCTAATGAAACCTTAGAAACAATCCTTTGTCGTAGAGTAGAAAACAAGATAACTATTAATAATTACGAGATTCTAAAAATAATTTTATACTCCTTCCGTTTCATAATACTTTGGCGTAATGGCGTTTAAAATGAATATATTTCATTTAAAATTTGATTTTTTTTTTTTTTGAATTAATTGATTGTGGATTGATGACATGACTTTAAGTAAAGAAATTTTTACTTTAAATTATGCAATTATGACTTGTGCTTTCCTAACAAAAAATCAAAAAAAGTTAAATAAGGTAAACTAATTATAAATTATGTTTTACTTTTATGTGATTGATTCCATATGATCTAACATTATGAAATGGAGGGAGTATATATTTTTTTTTATATATTATCTTAGATAGAGTTGTATTATAGAAAATAACTGAAGATAATATCGTATAGGGGTGTTTTTTTTTTTTTTTTTCGCTTGATGGTTTGTATCAAATACGGTCAATTAAATAAGATAATCGTAATTAAGATTAGATGGGTCTTGATAAGCCCTCTGTCCCTCTAGCGTATACTTTCTTTCGCCCAATTTTAGGGCTAACGGGATTTTATCTTAGGGAGAAAATTACATATATAATGACTAGGGAGAAAATTACATATGTAATTATTAGGGAGAAAATTACATTTGTAAAAATCATTAAAATCGACTTATCCCTGACTAACAAAATTGAGATTACCAAACCATTGGACATCAAAATAAAAACAAAATTTGATACACACAGGTCACCAAAGTAGAATTATTGAAACCTCAATGCAGGAATGTGGTATTACTCGTATGTCAAAACCTAAAACGGATACGAGCATTTACCAAGATAAAAAGATCGCAAAAGGCATATGAAGTAAAACAGAGCTTTTTTGATATCAGCATAAAGAATTTTTATACCAGAATAAGAGTAAGAGTTCCAAAGAAGCTCAACCTTTAAGAATTTAGGAAATAGTTCAAACAATAAAAAGTTATTTGTAATCTAAGCGAAATTATAGCAAGCCCTCAACAAATCAAGAATTGAGATTGGCAGGCTGGATTTTTTTCTCACATTCCCCGAACCCAAAAACCTCAGTAGAGCCCAGTCAGTCTTCGAGCCACATCATGTCATTGACTGTATGGAGGCATAGCAGGTGGCTGCGGCAAGCCATTTGGGTTCTGCATATGCATTGCTCCAGGTCCCATTTCAAGCGGCATTGACCCTGGTGGCATGGAACCTGGCGGGATGGTGCCAGGAGGACCAGGAGGTGCAGCACCAGGTCCAGGTGGCATGTTGTATGGGTAATTTTGCATTGGCATCTGCATGTGCATATGTTGAGGTGGTGCCCAGCCTCCTGATGAAGGAGGTGGTCCTGGATATTGCCCACCATTATAAGGAGCAGCAGTAGCTCCCGACATTGGCCCTCCTGTTGGCTGTTGTCCGAGAATTGAGGGTTGAATCATGGCCCCATGTATAGGAATTGTATAGTCTCGGCTTCTGTCATTGTTTACCTGGAGTTTCAGATATCACAATCAACAATGTTTAGTTGTTTACATACTTCGTATCAAGGAAGAAAAGTTCTTGCAAAATTAAAAATATTTATCACTGTAACAGAAGTTAAAATTACATCAAAAACTGACTGTGACTTTTGAGTAAAGCAATTCCAAAATAATATACGAATGACACATGGCAAGACAAGCACATCCCATGAAACCTTCTTGATGAGGAAAAAACATAAGAACTCCCAAATACATCATAAAACATATATAAATCTGCAATAGGTTCACTCATTTCTCTTCACTCTACAGTTTCCTAGGGTGTTTATTGAGAAAAGGTTTGAATAAGAAGCAAAGAACAAGCAGGAATTAGAAGTAGATGCATAGTTTGTAGCCTAAATGAATTTAATATCTTTGAGATCACTTGTTAACATAAAAGCAAATCATAATTTTTTTATATGAACTTCATAGGTAGGGTCCTTTTCCACATAATTCCTATTGTGTTATCTGAAACTCCAGGTAAATATAAGTGTCGTACAAAGTATTATAATTAATATTGTATTTCATGTAATTATTTTATAAATAGAATAAAAGTATGTAATTTTGCTTTAAAAGATATATAGATGTGGGTATGAGGTGGGGATGGGGCGGGTACGAAGTGGGGCGGGGCGGATACAACTTAAAATCCACCCCCGCCCCATCACCCATGGCGGGTATGGTTTTTATCCCCATCCCCGCCCCACCACCCGCCAAACCGAGACCCATCCCCGCCCCATTGGGGCGGGGATGGGGCGGGTCTCCTACTTGACCCGCCCCACTGACATCCCTAACCACAATAAAGATACGCACATCGATGAATCAAAAAAGTCTTATAACCAACTTATGGATCAACTAACAATGGAATTAAAGAGGTAATCGGTGTTAGCTGTATCAGAAAATATTGCTAAATGCACAATTCAAAAGAGAAAGTAGTACTCACTATGAGTCACTTACCTTGATACTTAAATCAGTATGCCGTGAATATGATAGGTGGAGTTTGCAAAACCCTCCATCATATATGCAATGTCCCTCAAGTGCTTCTTTAGCAACTACAGCTGTCTGAACATCTGTGGAAATCACAAAGTTCAGTCTTTCATAGCACAGATCCTTCTAAGTAGCCCAAAATTCACAAAGACTAAATCATCAGCAGCAGTTAAAAGACAAGTTGTCTGGTTTTGCCAATATGCCTTCCTCCCCTCCCCCCCCCCCCCCCAAAAAAAAAAAAAAAAAGGAAAAAAAAGGAGAGAGAGAGAGAGGCAGACAACAAGACTAGTGGTCTACTACTCTACTATGCACCTGAGATTCCGAGAACAGCAATAAACACTCGCCAGATATCAAACTTCATGCATGCTATATTCCAGTTTCATTTTTAAGTTTTTAACCATAATGAGTGACGATGGATATCTAACACACTTTTGAGTGTACTATCTAGGACTAGGAGACCAAAATTTCTAAAACGTCAACCCATAGCAATATAGGAACATAGGTATCTCCAATATGATACCAATAAATTGCCAAGATATCGCATTTATAAGTATAATTTCATCTAGCTAGTCTCAATAGAATCGTCTTTAGCTAATGAAACCACAAAAGCATGTTCCTAGATTCACACAGGAATTTCGAAGAGAGAAAAAGTAGCGAAATTCTTTCAAAGAAGAGAAAAGGCTCCATAGGAGGGAGGGGGAGAGAGAGAGAAAGAGAGAGAGTACTCCCTGCCACTCAGCGTAACTAGCAGCTACTTTTGACAAAATGCACACTGCTGCAGCATAGGGAAGCCTCGGGCAAAGGGATGACACCAAGAACCCCAGAGATGTTAAACAAATTATATGGCTCATGTTAGAGATGGAGAAGTTGAGAAGGTAAAGAGGAGAAAGAGAACTGAAGGAGAGACGAGAAGGAAGTTCAACTCCTTACCACATGCAAATTATATGGATGATATAAAAATCCATGATGTTTCCTGTTGTCCAGCATAATTTGATATATCAAGGATTATTTCAAGAAAATTTATCAGCCATAAATGCATGCCCTTTTACATTGCTATGGACATAGGCATCAGCAATATCATTACCTTCTTAAAAACCAGTGCTTTATTTTTTGAACATTTTTTTCATAGTTGAAAACCATACGCAGAAATTCAGCCCATAAGTTTGGCACTCACCAGGGTACTGAATCAAAGCTTGCAGCCCTCCATTTTTGTCAAACATAGCAATCTTTTGCACAAGTCCAAAGGCAGAAAAGACCTAGAAGAAGAAAAGAAATAAGTAAATGACACAATCAGCAATACCCTAATGGTCTGTTTGGTAGATGGCCATAAATGATGGTAATGGGGGAATAAATTTGTATGTAAATTTGTAAGGAAAATCGAAAACCATTCCCATGGTAACACTAACTCACCCCAAACCATTTTTCTTTAGAAATTTTCTTTCCCACCTAATACCTCCTCCCAAGTGGTAAAGGATGGTAATGAAAAATATGAAGAAAACACTAGCTTGAGGATAAAATTGCATTACCATGGGGATTACAAAATTAATTTCCTTCTTAATTTACACTTACACTTCATTCCCATTACCACCATGTATTATCGGCTATCAAACAGGCCATAAAAATAAAAAACCAGAATTAATGACAATACCGTGTGTAGGACATCTAATGTGACAGCATACTGCATATTCTCAATTGATGCCAATAGTACATTACTCTCAGGTTCCAGCTTTTTCCCATCCACTCCCACACTAAGCTGAAATATGAATAATGTAGGCCGTCAAAACATAAGAGTAGAGAAGGAAGAAAACGTAAATACAACAGCAAAAAATTTGCCACCGACATGAAGTACAGATTTCCAGCCAACCACCTAGTAATGCATGAAACTAGCTAGATTCTAGAAACATCTGGTTGTAGTACCATGCGTAAGCAAAAGCACATAAATGTCTATTTTGTGGACATAAACATATAAATACAGTATCTACACAAGCACGGAAATGGTTATTTAAAGAGTGCTTGCTCTAATTGTCAGCATGTGAATCAAATGATAATTACTTTGAACATTACTCAATCTCTTTCAACTTAAAGGTCTTAAAACATGGCAATTAAGAATGCTAATGTGATTAGCATATCTATTCAATGCATTCCACATCTGTAAGCATACTACACAGGAGGCATTTGGTTCACAATATTTTGGTATAAGGTATGTTTACATTAAAAAATTGTAAATTTAAAACTCAACTCTCAAACCCCAAGGGTGAAGGGTATGGAGTTCAAAAAGTAAAAAAATCATTCCAGAATATTTACCAAACACGTGGTATTTAATATAAAGTTCCAAATCAATACAACTATGATTTCATTCCTAATTTCAAACCCATACTAACTTCAAAACCAAACGCCCCTAAAGTTGTTTTAGGGCAGGTATGGAAAATCACATTTATAGTGAACTTCACCAAACTGAAAGAGAGCAAGTAATGTTCAAGACAACTTAATTAGTAACATCGAAGTTTATTCCGGGACAGGAGCAAAAGTTATATGACCCAGGACACTTTTAGATCAGTGTAAAATGTCCATGAAAGGAAAAACAAAAACCCAATCACCAGGAAAGGGAGGGGGGGATAAAAGTTCAAGATTGTATGCCTTACCTGACCAGCTGCATCTATAGCAGATGGGGCAACCGGAAGGTATGGATTAGTGTAATCCCTAAAAATAACACAGATCGATAATAAATAGTAGTTCACAAAAGAGATACTGTAATTGAAACATTAAGAGTCATAAAGTCAAATGTCTGTCAGAACTTTATAAAACAAAAACAGCAAGGAGAAATTTACCTGCTGCGGTGACTCTGGAATTTGACACTCAAATCAGTATGTGCGGAATAAGTTATCCTGAGAGTGCAGGGCCCAACATGCTCTGGAAGTAGATACCTAGGTCAACAGCAAAAAAAATCAGCCACAATACTAAAAATATACATTTCACATGACCAAATTCATTCACAACTTTGTAAAACATATAGCCAGGTAATCTGACAAGGGTAAGCACGGAGATGGAAACCCTAGACCGTAAAATACTAACACTGCATGAATTGGACAGCATACACCCAACAGCTAATATGCTATCATGTCTATGGATTATGGACTGACCCTAAGTATGGACACCTTGCATCTCAACACAATTATTAAGATAAGAATTTATTGATAAGATTTTTACCATTGTTTTTTAATGTGAGTGTGTGTGTGTGTGTTTTTTTTTTTTTTTTTTTTTGGGGGGGGGGGGGAGGTTTAGCATATAATCCACAGTTCCACACGCAGGAATCTAAGACTATCAATGAAATATGGTGCGAGAAGGATTCTCACAACTTCAACTGATTCCAGCGCATACAGGATTGACATGCATAGTGTAAGATCCACTAAATGTGGACAACGCCTGAAGCCACACAATAAATCCAAAATCACCTTGGGATGCTTCTTGAATCAAGAGCATTCTTTGCAGAAGACGCAGTTTCTGTGTCAGAAAACTGAATCAACGCCTGCAAGGAGAAAGAGAACAGAGTGAGGCTTCATTTTCAGTAAGACATGCAGAATAGCACAATTATTTCTTAAATTTTACACCATCAGCAGCAGAGTGAAAAAGGATGATAAACCACAGGAGAGGAGCGTAGAGTCAAAGAAATAGAAAGAGAGAACAAAAATTAGAAGTTTTGCCTGAAATCCAGCTGTCTTTTCAAAAGTTGTAATCTTGTGCACAAATCCAAATGCTGAAAATACCTGCATCAGCAAGATCTCATTCAGAAACAAACATGTCTAGAGAATAGGATTAAAAACTGCATCAAGACAATTATAAGTTTACAACATCAGCCTACTCTTTGTGTATTGAAAAGGAACAGATATACTCAATCTGCATTATAGGAACAAAACATACTTAAATGCAATACAAAAGGTTTCATCATCACTAAATCTACAAAGCTTAATGATGTACAAATACAAATAGACTTGCATCTAATTTGATATCAATGAAAGTTAAATTTTCACTGTTCTTCAGCATGTGGCTCATAATAGACTAAATTGTCCACACTTCAAATAGAATGCATACATAATCAAGATCCAACCAAGGAGGAAGCCTCTTTGGAAGAGTTCCTCTAATTGTTGTTAAATCCATAACATTGGCAATCAAGGAAAAAAATTCAACTCACATCAGCACTATTGGATTAAAAATAAACCCACCAATCTTGATATTGGGGTGAAAAGTTAGCTCGAGGTCATTACATATACAATCCTATGCTTAAAGGCTTAGAATCATATGAAGTGCGCAACTAAATAAATCATCTTCAAACAAATGTAATTACAACAAGTAACAGCCAAACATTACCAAGTCATGACAGAGATTGAGTTCCCATACCAGGTTCCAGGATATTAGATCAGACTATTGAGTCAGAAGATGCCAATCAAAATGTCTACATAGGCATCCTTCAAACAATGCTTTAACACCGAAATATTCAGGAAGAAGGAGAGAGAAAAAACATTGCACAAAGAAACTATAAAAGCACAGCATGTAGCAGGTTGTATACAAAGCAAAATGATACTGAAAGTTAAAAATTAGATTCTATTTAAGGGAATTTAACATGATTCACTATCATCAATAAGGATATTACTGTAATTTAAAATAAATAAAAATATAACAGGACATGCACACGAGGAGAGAGGATGCACAACAGTATAGCATAATGAGCACTCATAACTCTTTAAGAACTGTAGGGGTAGATGAAAGAGGGAGAAAAGTAGGGAAGAAAGAGGCAGTGTTAGGAAAAGGAGAAAGGAGACAAACACACATGCGCTCTTTCTCCCGACGCATTAAGCTGCCATCGAAGATATATCCTTGACAAGGGCCTGCTGATTCATTTACACTCATGTCAAATAAATGGCTTATTAAGTATGACCAACTATAGCCTAGTCCGGAAAACTAACCCCAAGGATCTCTGCAGTCAGCTATATCTCATGTCATAACATGAAGGAGCATATGTGTGACTTACCAAGTGTAATACTTCAATACTGACTTGCCGAGCTTCATTTCCCTCAATGGTAACCAATAACACATTTCCTGCAGTGTCAGCAGTGGTCTTATTGTTCACAATTTCTTGTCGATTGGAATACTGCAAGTACACAGTTTTTCCCCGTATTTGAGCAGGTTCTGATGATGAAGCATAGTAGGATATCATGGCAATGGCCTGATTAAGGTCCGCCTGGAAAAGACATAAACATATATATCAGTCATGACATCCAGAATCCAAACCTAACAGTCATACCAAACTCCATCAATTCCAGTCCATGGACTACAACTCCATGCTCCACTTAATCTGACATGACAGAAAGTATAGCTCTGCTATAATCTGACTCCAAATATAATAGAACTTCTTTCCAGCTTCCTCAAGCAAGTCCTCATGAGACTTGATCAATAAGGCTCAACAACAAGTGCAAAAGACTAAGCATAGGATTTGTCATGTCTGCACAATATATAATCATACTAAGATCTTTTGTTCACCTAGAATAAGATAGCAGGCTTCCTTTTCCACATTATCCTTCACTCCAACCAATCTACCATACTCTGACAGTCTGACCACATAGGCACTATATCGCAGGAATGCAGTTAAAAAAGATAGATTTTCTTTATCGGGAAATTAAATTATAATAACAGCACAGATAATCAGATAAAGGAGTACCAGCAAAAGAGGACAAGCATTCATTTAAAACCAAAAAACAAAATGAAAGATTGACCCAGTTCCTATGAATGTCCTCAATCAAGAAATCCTTGAAAACCTCAAGATAAATTCACTTATAAAATAAAAATAAAATCACAGAAGGTAAGCATCAGCTATTTACTAAATCTCACCTCAATAACAAAGTTTCAATGCCAATCAGCCATTGTACAAATTGTACATACAATTTGTTATCAGTGCTATTTATTACCGAGTAAATTTCTATAAAATGCCACTTTTCTTCTTTTAGTTTTGGGTTGGGGGGGAGGGGGTCAGGAGAGGTTGGTGTTAATAGTAAGACAGCAATATTACTGGCACTTACAAATTCGATGAACGCTTGATTTTTGTTGGCCCCAACATTGCACTTTGTGTTGACAACTTTACCAAAAGGCTTCCCCAATTCAATCAGCTCCTCTTCAGTGCATTCCCAAGGCAAGTTTCTCAAATGAAGAACCTTCGATGGTGGTTGGGTGTAACGGAACTGTGGCTGACTTGACACAGATGCCATTACACAAGTAGCCCCACACAGATGAAGCAATAAACTCCTGCAGCACAAGATTGACAACAGCTGAAAATTTCTAAACGAAATCAATTAACCACTCAGATTAGCTATGTGCCTATGTGTTGCATTTCCAGTTTGACAAACAATTACTGCCATTTTATTTGGGAGTATGGGGGGTTGCAGCATTCAGAAAATATCATTATATCCAGCATTTTCTTTAAGAACTACACTACAGAAATTTCTAAACCACACATTTTGATATTTTTATTTAAGTAACACTATCTTTCAGCAGACAATGACCAAAAGTTGACCTTCAATTGGACATCAAACAACTCTAAATTGAGCAAGAACATTTATCAAATATTCATTATTTCGTCTTGTTAGACAAAGTGGTGATATATTGAAAGGCAAACTAGCTCCATTATACAACTTAAGGCCATTAAGGGTAGTGTTATTTAGCAAAAGTCATAATAATTAGACAAAACAAAAAAAACAAAAAAAAAAAATGATACTCAACATTTGGACTTTGATTTGAGACTTGGACACTTCATTTTTTGCCTAAGTTAGGCAAAAATTTCATAAATAGGCCATGCCAGTCACTTGGACACATACCAGAGAATTACATTTCTAGCCAAGTCTAAGTAGCATAGGCCCTGCTCCACTGGAAAGAGAGGGGGATTCTAATTATTTGTTTGACACTTGTACACCTAATTTCTCATAGTGGCCATGCCTATCACTTGGACACATACCGCTGATACCGATGTATTACACTTCTAGCCAATTCTGAGTAACATAGGCCCAGCTCTACTAGAAAGAAAGGAGGATTCAGGTTATTTTTTTTATCATAGGGACGATATAGTTTTTTTTTTAACAGATACGAGGCAGATGGTAAATATGGACTTTTATGACATCATTCTCAAGCTTGATTCATTAAAGTTGAAAGAAATCTCGATATTAGATTTAAAAGAGGTTATAAAGGATGTATATTGCAATATATTATTCTATTTTGAGAAGGGTATAATCTCAAAGTGACATAAATTAAACCCTCTAAGTGACATTTTTTCCTTAAATACGCCGTCATAATTTTCACTGAGTAGCGATTTATTCAAAACCATACAAATATCCTATCAATCTATCATAAATTCATAATATAAAATAAATCATAGTATTGCATAGCCTAGCAATGACGAAGATAATTCAACAATCCAATTTGCTAATGCAATCATGTGGAGTGTATGATCAAATATTAGGCGTGCTAAACCTTCAAGCCGAGCCCGAATACTCGAATAGTCATAAGATCGAGCAACTATAATAGACAGGCTAGACTCGAAGCTCGAATCGCCTCATATATTTTAGGGTCAGCTCGTGGGCTAGATTAGGGTCAAAAATTGCAACACATTAGCAACCAAATCAGATTAAGATCGGAAGATCAAATAACATTCTTCTCGCATTCTCGCTTAATCCTAGCAATCTAACTTAAACTACACATAGCCAAATTCTAGCAGCAAATTCGCTCGTTATAATATTTCATAACTTCAGAAATTATAAACAATAATTCAATTGCCTTAGATAAACCCTAAATTGATAAATACTTACAATTAATTTACGATAGACGATAGTAAGAAATTAAACCCTAGATTGTGAAATTGGTATTCGATTATTAAAGAAATAGGAATAAAACATCATACCTCAGAAGCTGCTTTAATGGAGGTGAGTAAGCTCAGCGGCTACTTTGATGGAGAATTCAGAGTACGCTTCAATGGAGGAGAGAGAGAGAGAGACGCAGCGTAAAAGTGAGAAGCTCCAAATATTAATAGAAATAAAATAAAAATGAAAATATGGGAGGATGAAGAGTAATGAAACGCATCATATAATGTCAACCGTTAGATCTAAGTAGATCAGCGGTCATCATTGCATTTTGAGGATAAATACTCGTCAAGTGTAAAAACACATTCTAACAAAATTACTCAATACCTTTTCTAGAAAAAAAATTACTATCTCCGTTTTTATTTTATTGCACCATTAGGATTTTTACACTATTCACTTATTCTTCTTTGACCATCATTTGTAATTTATCAACATAGTCATGTGAGATCTAGTTAGATTCGTCTCGAAATCTACTTTTCAATTATCAAATTTTTATAATTTTTACAAAAGTATAATTGAAGATATTAGTAGCTAAAGTAATGCATTGACAATCGTAAAATCTCTCATGGTGCAATAAAAAAAGAACAGAGAAAGTATTAAAAAAAAAAAAACAAACAAACAAAACAAAAGAAAAAAAAAACAATAGAAAGATAGGAATATTAATTACAGTAATAGATAAAGAAAATAACACCATACTTCGTAATCCCTAAAATACTCGTAATAATGTCTAAATTCTTGGAAAAGAAATTGCTATCTACACAATTATGCATTATCCCACTCCATATATTTATCAATTATGGTGTATATTTTTAATAAATAATGGGGTGTTACCGCTTACCACTAGCCAAGGATTATTGTAAATACATCTTATGTAAAAGCGTCACACCGTTACTTGAATAGTTGAAGGTATAATATGCTACGTAAATTCGCAAAATATCTATTGCAATTCTATAATGCGTTAAGTAAAGTGTCTTGTGAATATTTTAAATTTTCTTGAAAGGGTAATGTGTTATTTCAATTTATCATGTTAACATAATGGAATGGCTCATTTAGTGGTAAGATGAGAATATTATTAACTAATCCAAACTCATGGCAAATGAATTAGTGGTAAGATAGCTAGGATACTATTAACAAATCTGAACACATGTGTATGAGCTTTTTTCCTCATAGTCCTTGGATCTCGAAAGAATTTAATTTGAATTAATTTATCTCGTTTTAAATTAATAATTTTGAATGAAATGTGTTTCCCTAGTAGTTTTGTTGCTAGCTTGACAATGCATAAGTCATAAGGATTGTTTTACAAGGAACTTTGTTTGGTTATTTTATAATATGGAGTATCTTAAATTGAATGAAATTTATTTTTTGAGCTCTTTAATCAATTTTAAAATTTAGTTTTAAGGCAATTAATGCTCGCCCCAGTTTATCTTTGTTATTAACATATTTTGTCAATCTAGTGCATAGTCGTAACAGCTAGCTCATACTTGTGAATTGTGATTCGTCAATGCTTAATCACGAACAACCATATCCCATGCATATCATAACTTCATTTGTTAACGCTAATAATGGTGTCTAAGCTGCTTCCTCCATTGAAGCTATCTTCGATAACACCATTTTCATCATGTTCAAGCTTCACCTATTAAACTGTCCACTGCCATTGTTGACACCACCATCTACAGCGGTTTTGTCGCTAAATAAAATAAAAATCCTAGGAATAAAACTAAGGTCAAATTAAGGGCTTAGTCAATCCCAAAGGGTATAGATGACCTTTTCACCTTGAAATTAATAACTCGATGAGCTTTGTCAAGGAGCTCTTGGACATAATTCTTGTTAACGTTGGGGGATGACAGAGATGCTCAACACTAATTTCAACGTTGTTGCTGGTAATACACCCTCCATCACCACAGTTAATACAATCTCGCAAGAGAGAATGAGTGATTCGGGGCTTGCCCAATTGAGAGAGACAGGGGTGGTGCAACCGGTGCGGCGCTCAAAGGGCCTTCAAATATAAGAGGCCCCAAAATTACATATATAATATTATTGTATAATATAGATATGTAGAATTGAGTTGGTAGATTAGTGGTAAAGGCAAAGTAATATGTAGCGAAATTAAGATCTAATCATCAAATTATCTAAAATCTAATCAAATACTTCGTACTTCTTTGCTTCTATTAAAAATTCAATGTCTTTCTCTTGTGGACTCTTGGTAGATTTTGAAGTATAATTGAGTCTATTTTTTTTTCTTCCATATGATTGCTTTTTTTTTTTTTTTTTTTTTCTTCTAATTTTTCTATCCTTATAAATATAATAAATATACTACCTCCGATCCAAATTACTGGCAACTTTGGGGTATTATTTGTGAGATATAAAATATTTCAAAGTTGCGAGTAATTTGGACCGAAGTTAGTACAATTATTCAAAGATCTAAAGTCTAAACCCTATCCAAACTAAGGTGGGTACGAATTAGACACTATTCAATCTTCAACTTGACAGAGCTTAAGCTTAAATCCCAATGTGCAAGCTTTTACTTTAAATTGATCTTGAACAATTCAGAGTTTAAACAAAAGAAGCATGAACCCAGTAAAGTACAGTATATATAAGTACTTCGTATTAGATTAATCCAACCATGTCTGGTTTACTCCAAAATTATGGCCGTTAATATATTGGCTGCATTTCATTTTGATTACCACTACCAAAAATAAAAGTTCGAAAAACTCATGATCTTATTTAAAATCCATAATCATGACATTCATGAGAAAGATTTACTAGCCATTACTCCGTAGTATGACTATGATTTTCTTAAAACTATCATTAATAATCAGAGAATTAGAAAACTTTGATTGTGAGAGTGATATATGCAACTTTCACTAGAAATTCACCAACGCCTCAACATCTAAATGCCATAATACCTACCTACGAGTAACTTGCTATTTACCTATGTACAATCCATGATAACAAAAAATTCAGTCAAGTACCTTTACACAAACTATGATAACCCCCCAAAAAAATGAAATCAGAATGTTAAAACTCTATAGGAAAACCAATTACAAAACTACTACAGCTCGCCTTGATTCACCGGGAGGATCTTTCTTTGAAGCTGCTCGATCCGAATTTCTTTTGCCAAAAGCACCGCACCTCCGACGAACAACAGCAGATTCCCACCGGCTGCAACCCCGGCCCAAACATATGTATTAGGACCCTGCATAAAGATTAGACAGACCTCATCAATAACATACATATTGTAAACCAGCAACTAAGGGCTAGTTTTTCCACTTCATCTGTTGTCAGTTTCGTAAATTATCATGGTTTTAATAAGTTTAAGTGTTTAACCAATTTGTGACTAATTATATGACATAGTATAACATACGAAGTACAGTATAATTTTGAAAAACAAAAAACCAAAAAGGAAAAGCACAACGATACCAAACGAACTCCAAACAATGGAATGACACGATTCGGAAACTCGAAAACAAAATTACTACTGGATACCTTGAAATTGATTGTGCCCAGACAGGAAAGAATTGTGCCAAAAAGTTGACACACACAATAAACCCACTCGTAAACGCGCTGTTCCTTCGGAGTCTTGGGATTGATTTTGATAAACCATAAACACACCACTATATACAAGGCATAACCACACATAATAACCATATGCCCATCTTTCGAGAACGACGTAAATTGAGCAAGAAACCCCAGAAATATCATACCACAACTCAACATATGAAATGCCGCAATAATTTTCATACAATTCATCCTGCTCAAACAGTGGGAACAATGTCAATTAGAACAAATTCGTCTATGAAATTCTAATCAAATTCACTTTCTAAACAAACAATTGAGTTAAACCCTAATTCATTAATGATCAAAAACCTTAAAGATTAAGTTTAATTGAAAACAAAAACAAGCATCCTAAAACTTTCCGATAAAATTGACAAACTAGGGTTCTACAACGACATTGGTGATGCAATTGGGCGTAAATTAAACAGTATATCAGTAATTTCTAACTAAAGTATAATCAAAACCCTAGAAATTATAGAGAGAAGATGTACCTCGAAATTGGTGAGCGAACACAGAAAAAGCTTCTCCGGTGAAACTTGTTAAATCTCACGGGTCAATTTTTTGATTTCAGTAAAATTCTTTATCTGAATTTAAGTGTAATTTTATACTTCCACAGTTCCACGTAAGGGGCTAATAGGATTCCTGCTGGCAGTCGGAAAATTTGGTATGGACCTATACTTATGAAGAGGCCTGGTGGGTCACTATCAGGTTTTCATGGAAAATCTCATTGGAATAATAACAATAAAAAAAAAAATATGCATAAAATCAACAATCTAATCTTATATATATATAAAGGGGAGTTTTTAGAGAGCCACGTAGGGTTTAATTTTTTAGTGCGCCACGTAGGATTATAAATTTTAGTGGTATCCAATTAAATAAGAGATTAATAATTTCTTTTAGAATTAATTAATTCAAATGCCACATAACAAAAATTGGCGAATGATATTTCTAAGTTTAAATTAATTAAATATAAAATATTATCTTTTAATGTTAGAAATTTTATCTAAATATGTAACAAATTAGTACATAAATACAAAAAAATATATATTTTTTAAAAAATTCAAACAAACCGTGCATCGCACGGGCTTCATCTAGTAACAATATATTTGTCAATAATAACAATATAAACTGAAATCATAAAAAGAATTTGGTATGGACTATACTAGATATGGGCCTATACTTAGGGCCTGTTCTCATTGATTAAACTCAGTTGAACTGAACTGAACTGAACTGAGCTGAACTGAACTGAATTGAGCTGAACTAAACTGAACTGAGCTGAACTGAACTGAACTGAATATTTTATAAGAGAAGGAAATTAGGAGCTGAACTGAATTGAGCTGAGTTAAGCTGAACTGAACTAAACTGAGCTGAACTAAACTGAATTAAACTGAATTTCAACGTAAGAGAACAGACTCTTACTCACGAATAGTCGAATGTTTATTGGCCTCTAAAAACACACCACACGACACAACAATAGGATCAAAACTTGTATGAGTGTCAAAATCCCTACCTTTTCTTAAAAATATGAGAAAACTCTTATGATTAGCAATGAGACGATAATACCCCTAACAATATTTATTTACGTACCTACCTTTTTAAAAGTATTAGAAACTCTATGAATAGTAATGCGACAATATAAAAATGTTTATTTGCGTATTTACCCCTTTTGAAAGTATGGCCACGCATTTATGGACAATGTTGAAATAATTATGTCCATAAAATGTTTATTTACATATATTGCCCTCATTAATGTTAATTGTGTTTTTTTAACTCTTCAGAATATTGTGGGAACATTTATACTCAAAAAAAGTTATTTGTTTATATATTTTCTCTCATTAACACTACTAGCAACTAATAAAGTTATAATATAACGTCAAATCGAAATAACTTATTGGACATGATTAGTTATGATGTGCGCGTATCCGCACTAAGTATTGAGAGGAAAAAAAAATACAAAGTTGACCCAACATAAAAACAGCCTAATTACAGTTCGTATTTATAAATTGTCAAATTATGCAAGTATCTTACCTTTTAGTCTTTTACATAATCTTTAATTAATAAGTTTTGTGGACAAAAAAAAAATGAAGACGAGATCACGGGACTACGCATTTTTTAAAAAGTGCAATGTCAAATTATAGCATCTTTTTATCATGAGTAAAAAAAAAAAAAAAAAAAAAGTTTAAAGTACCTAAGCATAATTTACACCGATATACATGTGTTTTATCACAACTTTTTAAATTTGTAAATATTTAGGGTGATGAGCTTGTGTTCGAGAACAAACTCTACATGTGGTTTACACGACTCTAAGCTTTGTCCACAATGCAGTGAAATATGGACATGGAGAACAAACTCTCCATGTGGTTTACACGGCGCTAAGCCTTCGCAACGAGCAAGGAATTTACAGTTGCGAAGGCTCGTGTTTTTACCTCTGCATGCCTCTGGCTGAACTTGTGTCTCTGATGATGTTATCAAAATAAAATTAAGTTGACGCTCATATTGCTGCAGCAGTGCAGCATTTCATTTTGGTTTTGGGGTGGGGGGATGGAATTTCTTAAATCCAAATGTGCAAGCTTTAAATTGATATTGAACAAAAGAAGCATGAACCAAGTGTATAAGAAAGTAATTTGCAATTACCATGAATAACAAAGTATTTTGCAATTAGACGAGAAAATTTTCACAATGAGAGTGATAAGTGTAATTATAGCACTTAGATGCTTGTCTTAGTAGTAATTCTAGTATTTATCAACAAAAATTCATCTACGCCTCAACATCGATCTCAAACCTGCCATACTAATATACTATTGTGATATGCATAAATGCATAATACCTACGAGTTACTTGCAGTACCTTTATACAAGCCATGTTATACAAGAACATGATATCAGAATGTTAAAACTCTATAGGGAAAACCACCAAAACCTTTACTTCTTCAGCCCGCCTTGGTTCACCGGGAGTAAGCTCTCTCCTTCCAACTTCTCGATCACGATTTCTTTTACCAGAAGCGCCACACCTCCCACGAGCATCAGTAGACACCCAGCAATACCGACCCACACGAACCAAGCAGGACCCTGTATACAGATTAGACAGACTTTATTAATAACAAACATTGTAATCTTGTTTCTTACATTTGTAAACCAGCAACAAAGCAATCGAATGTCACAATTCGAAAAACCCGAAAACAAAATTACTACCAAGTATATATACCTCGAAGATGTAGATTGAGAAGTCACCCAGAGAGGCAAGAATTAAGCCAAAAACCTGACTCACACTACAAACCAGCTCGAAAACAAACAGTTCCTTGTAAAATGGAGCTTTGACAGTGAGCATTTGCACATACCAAAAGCTCATCAACGATATCACGCCAAAACCAAACATACACCAAACCGCCCCATATTTTGAGTACGACGTAAATTGAGCAATAAACCCCATTAATATCATAACAGAGCTCAGTATGTAAGATAATGCAGCAATTTTCACACGATTCATCCTGCTCAAACAGTGGGAACGATGTCAATTAGAGCAAATTCGAGTCTACTAATTTCAAATCAAACGACTATATAAACAAACAATCGAGTTAAACCCTAATTGATTAATCCTAGGCAATTTCAATTTCCCCAAGATCACATTGTTTGTATGAGTTGCAGCAACAAAGAATGATCAGAAACACTAAAGATTTAAGTTGAATTGAAAGCAAAAACAAGGAAGCATTGTGAAATTTTCCGATGAAACTTGAAAAACTAAGGTTTAACAACTACATTGTTGATGAAATTATTGGGTGTAAATTCAGCATTGTTGACAGTGGCGGACCCAGGAATTTCTGACCGGTGAGTCACAAACTCACAATCGATAACCAAATATGTAAAAAAAAATTTTTTTACCAAAATTCCCAAAAAAAATTACTTACAAAGATCATCCAAATAGAAAATTTACAAGATTACAATACTAACTAACATTTAACAAGCTTAAAATTGACAAGACTAAAATTAACAAACTAATAATTTTTTTTTTTTTTTTTAAAAAAAAAAAAAAGACTTAGAAATTTTTTTGGGCCCTGGTGAGTCATTTGACCCACCAGGCACAAGGCCAAGTCCGCCCCTGATTGTTGATGCAATTGTACGTAAATGAAACAGTATATCAGTCATTTCTGATTAAAGCATAATCAAAACCCTAGAAATTATAGAGAGAGAAAGTGTACCTGAAGATTGATGAGCGAAAACTTGTCAAATCTTGGGTTTTTCTCTTTTTATGGGTTTCAATTTTTGAATGATTTCTATTTATCTGAATTCTGAAGTAGTGATGTTAAGTGAAATTCTGAAAAACGCTTTTACTTAACGCTTTTACTTTCCTATTATGAAGGAAAAAGCTAATAAGCGTCAAGGCGTTAGGTTATTGAAGTAAATTAATTACACCAATCGACGTATGATTTTGGCATGCGATTCATACTTAAACTATTTATAGGTTATATAAATCAACAATCCTCAAATCTAGCTAAAATTTGCATTTTTTTTCTTAAGTTAATATTAGACTCCGATGTATGTATCAACTCTAATTTCCAATGAAATGATGCAACCTCACTCATTATTTTGTTCCACTGTTCGTTCAGAGCTCTATAGCATTGATGGTTGTACCTTGTACACTTGTACAGTTGTACTTGAGAAAACGCTTTTATTTAACGCTTTTACTTTGCTATTATGAGCGTCGATTATTTTAGAGCCTCAAGGCCAACATTTGGGGGAAGGGCTCATTAGGGGTGTTGAATAACCAACCCGGTTCTGATAGGAAGAATTAGAACTGACCATCTATAACCCAGACACAACAATATGATCGAAATTGATGTGAGTACTAAAATACTAAGATAAAACACAAAGTTGACACAACATGAAAGTAATATAAACGTGACCTATTTTGATAGATCGCCAAATTATGCAAGTATCTTATGTTTTCCATAATTATTCATAAATTTTATGAGCAACAAAAAAATGAACATGAGATGATGAGTCTAAGCGTTTTTTTAAAGGGCAATGTCAAATTATCTTTTTATTATTATTAGTTTATTTCATCTATTGATATTTCTTTATTTTTGGGCTTTCAGCCTCATTTTTTTTTTCAAGTATAATGAATAGCATGAGTGATTTCATTTTCACATTTCCTTGTTTTTGTTATTACAATAGTTAATAGTACAATAACATAGTAGAACTCATGAAACAAATGGATGATTACATACCTACTTATAATGGGAGGCTTAAAATAAATTAGTATAAATAATTAGCAAAAGCTAACAAGCGTCCTCAAGGTGTTAGGTTATTGAAGTAAATTAAACATTAATTACACCAATTGACGTGTGATTTTAGCATGCGATTCATACTTAAACTATTTATAGGCTATTTAAACCAACGATCCTAAAATCTAGCTAAAATTTGCATTTTTTTCTTTGTTAATATTGGACTTCGATGTATGCATCAACTCTAATTTCCAATGAAATGATGCAACCTCACTCATTATTTTGTTCCACTGGTCGTTCAGAGCTCTATAGCCTTGATGGTTGTACTTGAGAATTATCACACAAGGGAGAGATTAAAGAGAAAGGTATTAAAGCAAGAATATCAAAGAAGTTTCAAGCTGTATCAAACAAAACTATTAAACGATTCTAGCAACAAACTTGTTACTCAAATAGGCCGAGAAACGATTCCAAAATCATCAATATTTCATCAATATGGATCGCAGAAAGTCATAGACATAATACATTGCTACATCCCCTATATTAACCCTTCAATTCAAGTGTTACCAACAAGAACATCTTTCCCCCAAAGTGTCTCTGAGTGATGCGTAAAATTTTCACTGTGAGAGTGATACAGTATAGTTTTAGCACTTAGATGCTTGTCTTAGTAGTAATACTAGTATTTATCAGCAAAATTTCATCAACGCCTCAACATCTCAAACCTGCCAATCTGTCATACTATTGTGATATGCATAAATGCACAGTATATACCTACGAGTTAACTTGCTATACCTCTTTACAAACCATGATAGCAAAAAATTCAGTTATAGTACCTTTATACAAGCCATGATAACCCAAGAACTCGATATCAGAATGTTAACACTCTATATAGGGAAAACCACCAAACCATTACTCGCCTTGCTTCACCGGGGCTGAGCTCTTTTCTTCCAACGTCTCAATCCAGATTTCTTTTGCCAGATTCGCCACACCTCCAACAAACATCAGTATGCAGCCAATGACACCGACCCACAACAACCAAACAGGACCCTGCATACAGATTAGACAGACTATATTAATAACAAACATTGTTGTATCTTGTTTCTTACATATTGTAAACCAGCAACTAAGCAATCGAATGGCACAATTCAAAAAACCCGAAAACAAAATTACTACTAGTACATATACCTTGATGATGGTGATTGAGATTTCACCCAGAATGGCAAGAATTATCCAACAAGCCGAACCAGATTAACAACCAGGTCGAAAACATGCACTTCCTGAGCTTTGACATTGCGCACAAGAAAATACCAAACATTCACCATCGTCATCCCGTAAAAACCAAACATAAGCCAAACCGCCCCATATTTCGAGTACGACGTAAATTGAGCAAGAAATCCCACTGATATCATAACAGAACTAAACATACAAGCTATTGCAGCAATTTTCTGATGTAACATCCTGCTCAAATAGTGGGAACAATCAACAATGTCAATTACAGCAAATTCGTCTACTAATTTCTAATCAAAATCACTATCTAAAGTCTAAACAAACAATTGAGTTAAACCCTAATTGATTAATCCTAGACAATTTCAATTTCTCCAAAATCACATTGATTGTATGAGTTGCAGCAACAAAGAATGATCAGAAACACTAAAGATTTAAGTGCAATTGAAAGCATAAATACTTAAACAAGCATTGTGAAAATTTCCGGTGAAACTTGAAAATCTAGGGTTTAACGACATTGTTGATGAAATAATTGGGCGTAAATTCAACATTGTTGATGCAATTGTACGTATATTTACTATATCAAACAGTATAACAGTAATTTCTGATTAAAGCAGCATAATCAAAACCCTGGAAATTGTAGAGAGAGAAAGTGTACCTGATTACCTGAAGACTGATGAGCGAAAACTTGTCAAATCTTGCGTTTATGGGTTTCAAATTATGGGTGATTTCATTTCTATTTATCTGAATTCTGAAGTAGTATGATGTTAAGTAAAATTCTGAAAAACGCTTTTATTAAACGCTTTTACTTTCCCAGCCTATTACGAGCGTCGATTATTTTAGGGCCTCGAAGGCCGACATTTAGGGGGAGGGGTGTTGAATACCGGTTCACATAGGAAAAATTAGAGCTAATCTATAACACGATACGACAACACGAGTAAAACTAACACGAGTATCAAAATAGCAAGATAAAATTGTTCCGGATGAGCTTCGGTACCGTTAATCCTTGAGGGTTGGTAAAGGTTTACCGTCCAATTATGTACCTGCACAGTCAACATAGATAAGCTAACCCGGGATTGTCCGGAGACAACCGCTTCGATGCTAAAGTTAGTGATCTGATGAGAAGAAAGGATGAAGAGAGAGAGTGTTTAGAGAGAGAGAGAGAGATTGTACCTTGTAATGAAGATATGCTTGGGTATTTATAGAAAGACAACCAAGCTGGCACACCGACCTTGTAGGCAGCAGGTACCCACGTGGCCAAGAAGAAGGCCGTTAGTGGAGTTGAGCCGATAAGATAATCAATATATAATCATGGGCGTATTGTGTTGTTATCGGCAACGGCAAATTAACAGGTGTTATCGGTATTATCCCGTACTAAAATACAAAGTTGACACGGCATGAAAGCAATCTAAATGTTACCTGTTTTGATAAATTGCAAAATTATGCAAGTATCTTACCTTTTCTATAATTTTTTGTAAATTTTGTGAAAACAACAAAAAGATGACACATGAGATTCTATAGCCTTGATGTTTGTACTTGAGAAATTGTCACATAAGGGAGAGATTAAAGAGAAAGTTATACAATAACACACGAATATTAAAGGAGTTTTGTATCGAAAAAAACTAATAAAAATAGGCCGAGAAATGATTCACAATCATCAATATGGAATTTACCCTATATTACTTGTTTAATAATTCAAGTGTTACCAACAAGAACATCTTTATAAGGGGTTGCCGGATCAAACCCTTTTGGCTCAGCCCCTGATTGTAATCGACGAGAAGAAAGATTTTCCTCATTCATCAGAGGAACTCGACCTTCTCTCACTCGAATTAACCCTTCTTGAGCCCCTCCTCGTAGCTTCTCTAAACGTAGTCCATTCATTTGCTGCATCTTGAACACCTTCACCACATTCATTAATCCTCCTATGAACAATAGTAAGCTCCCAAATATTCCCAACCATACCCATGTTTTCCCCTGCATGCATTCCAACACTATATCATTTGTTGAAGTCGTAAATTTATAATGTACAACAATTTAATTAGCTAAAAACATACATATTGACAAATTATAAATAAGAAAAAATGACTTACAAGTAACATGAGGCCATGGTAAATCCATCTTGATTGTTCGCGACTATTGAGAATTGCACCAACAACAAACAATAAGCTTGCCAATAAAAAGGGAATGTTGACACTCTCTTGCAATATTTGAATATGGCCATCAGCTCTTTCGTAGATTTGACATGAATTGTGTATCGAACCAATAAGCCATAAAACTGGCCCGGCAATCAGCATGTTCAAGGCATGCCTTTCTAAACTGCTGTAATAAACACCCTTCTCTTCCTGCAGGTAATTAATTTTTAAAGATATCCTAATTAGAATACTACAGCTAACCATACATAATAAGATCTCCAATTTGTTTCTTACTTAATTATTAAATCTCTTTACAGAATTATTTAGTATTCTAATGTTCATGTGATTGATTAATGAATTGATTGATGAAATGTAATTTAGTACGTAGATGTGATATTACCCACATTGTCTTAGTTGTATATATATATATATATATATCCACCATCAATAAGTCTTTAGTGGAGTCAAACTAGGTGAAATTGAATTCCGTTTACATTATTGTTCCCTGTGATATCCTCTTTTTATCAAATAAATAAATCAAATATCTTGTCATTGCGGCGGAAGAACCGATGCCAAGTTTAATAAAATACTTATAAATATATTTTCAATTCAATTAAGCAAACCGTCAAAATGGGTTGACACTAGACATTTCAAAGTAAGAACAAAATTGATTAAATTTCAAATCATCAATAATAATATTCCCAAATTTAATAATAATATCAAATGATTATTTGCATTTTCATCAACCATAAAGTTGGCTACATAAACCAAAAGTGATTATTCCGTGTACCGTATCATTAAGGGCACCAAATTGTAGCACGTTGCAATAGTTAGGTAACGGGTGGTGGTCGTATACGACTGTACGAGTACCAAAATTAAAATGTAACAAAATAAGTTAAAAAAAAAAAATACCAGAATGAGTAGGAAAAGGATGCCTAAGAAAGACAAAAGCGAGCCAAGAATCTGAACAACAGGAACAGCAAACTCAACAAGAGCAAGCTGAATATCAAACTCCATCAACGGCAACCGGTAATCGATTCCGGCGAGGTGGGCCACCAAATCATGAACATTAACGGCGGTGATAAGAAAATACCCAATCAACAGTAGGAGAAGACCTGATTTGGGCTCCTTAGAGAATAGGGCTATAAAGCCCATTAATAAGACGATTGTACCAAACAAGTATAGCCCAGCATTCATGTATTCTGATCGATTTCTTGCTAGTCTTGGCCCATATAGCCTACTCTCTCTTGCACTTGCTAGTTTCACCATTTTTATTTTTTATTTTTAATTTTGGATCGTTTGATATGATAACTTTATGAAGAAAGGATTATCATAAAGTTTAAATGATGATGATAAGAGAGAATGGGTTATGATATAATAGTGATGAAGAAAAGCTAAGTTGAAGTGATACGTGTCTTCATGCATGGAGTTAGGGTGCTTATGCACAAGCTAAGTGTAAGATTTACATTGGTTTGACACGTTTTATTGTTTTTTTATACTTTGTTTTTTTCGTTTAAAAAATAAGCTCAAAGCTTTTAATGCGCACGAGGAGCGGAGGAGGTGGTTTGTTTAAGGAATTGTTAAATAACGCCTCCTTTACTGACCGAGGTGTACATCAATCCGGTCACGTACCAAAGTTGGATTTGGTACCTATTTTAAAGTAAAATTATGCTAAATTATTATATCTATATGAGTTAAAATCTCATCAATCGAGATTTTTTTGGGTCTAGTCGAATTGTCGAACAATTGAGTAAGTTTTTGACATCTTCAAATCTAGATAATGCATTCGGTTCGGTTTAAATTGGACAACAACAAAAAAAAAAAAAAAAAAGAAACGGTGTCCTTTTAAAAAATAAATAAAATAAAATATAAAGGTTATTTACATAATTCAAAAGGTACTATGAAGATAAATCGAGAAGTACATAACCGTACAAAAAAAGATAATGTGATTGAGTAAAAAAATCAAACAAAGTTAGGTCTAGTAGTAAAAATTAAATCTTGAGTTCCATTTCTGTAAGGGACCCTTTTATTTTCCTCTGTTGTTTTCAAAGTATATAGCTTGAAAACTCAATTGAATTAACAATTAACCTATTATAAAACATATTTTGCAAATATACACATTTTACTTTCTCATCGGTTCACGTATGTTAGTGTATAATTTAATCATCAAATATCTTTAATTATCACAAAACACAAAGAGAGTATAGTTTTCCTTGCATTTCATTTTGCTCAAAAAATTGAACCGAAGTAAATGTAGGCGATTGCAGTCTAACTGTTCGACGAAATGCCTAATCAAGCTTTAGTCACTTGCAAAACACTGCTTACTGGTTACACCAATCCCAAGATATATGAGGTATACACAATTCTTCGCCTTGTATGGATTATTAATTTCTTAATTTTGTTTGCTTTGATCTCATCGTACCAAATACATTGCAATTAGTTAATCCTACCTCCTCCGTATTACAGTTGACTTTTACGTTGCTCGTATACAACTTTGACCATCTTTTACTACGTAGTAATAATATGTGAATTAAATATCACTATTTTAATTGTTTTTTGGGTTAACTTCATCACTTCAATGTACAAGTGTATATTTTTAAAGTTTTAATTTTTAAAAATTCTTTCTTAATGGTCAAAGCTGTTTCATACGAAATGTTAAAGTCAAAATGGGTACACTTTATTCTAACAAAGGAAGTATGTTGTTGTTGGAGTTTGTGGCCAATGAACTATATGTAAGTTATATCTTGATTTAATGTCACATTCGAATGTTAAAGGAAGTATGTTGTTGTTGGAGTTTGTTCCCAATTGAATTTGTGAAACTTTGATTAGACAATATAGTGTTCATGCTATGGGTTTGTGATCAATTGTGTGTGCTTCTACATAATTTGGTTAATTATGGTACTTTTACAGTTTTTGAAATTGGTGGATTATATAACTGTTCTTCAATGTCATGAAATTGAATCTATTTGCAATTAACAGGACTAGATGTTGTCTTGTTTAATGCTTGAAATGTTGATAGAATCTGTGTTGATTGTGTTAACCCGGTACGAGCCTTAAAATTCGATGCTATTGGCCTTCATGACTTTATTTATTCCTAACTTGGTTCAATCATTTACCTATCAATATCAGATAATGTATTAGGGAAGGTTAAATATCTTTAATTCTTAGAATTTTAATATAAAACTATCTCATCATAGTTTTTTGTCATCGAAAAAACCTTGTACACTGTCTTTTGTACCAAAATAAGTACTATGGTTTCTTTCTTTGTTAATCTGTTGTTGGCATTTGCAAAGGTGGTCCTGCAAGGCTGCAAGATTTCGCCAAAATTTGATTTTTATAACGATTGCTAGTAGATTTTTGTAGTACCATTCCTCTGTTGTTCATCTTATTGCTTATAACTCAAGTGGAATATTTAATCAGTTAGTTGCGTTTGATGTGCTATTTCATAAAGAAAGGATGCTAAATAAGTTTCCTGTTATTCATGTTTACAGGAAGACAGTTGTAGAATGACTCTACTTTAGCATAACACAAAAGTTAGTCTGTTCATCTATGGCGATGTCAAGATTAGCAAGGCAGTAAAGGGACTACTTTGATACCTATTACAGGTACAAACGCATTTAATTTCAAATTCTTGTTTTTTTTTTTTTTTTTTTTTTTTTAAGTTTCTTACTAGGAACAAGGATTTCTTCCAATAACTTGTTTGTTACCATATTATGCAATTGCGACCTATATTCGCAGTGTGGCATACATAGATTAAATGTGTAAGTAGAAATCTGTATGCATAACTCAATTCTTGCTTTTTGTCTCGTCTTCAGTTACCAGTTGTTGCACTTGGATGGGCTTCTCTGTGATCTTCTCTGCATCCCATTTGTTTGTGTCTTCCTCTATTCCTCTTCCTTTATATTTCCAATAAACCACCAGTTGGAGGATGCCAAAGAGAATTCCAACAAAATTAGGTGACTGTCAAGTGGATAAAATTCGAGTTAGAAGAATCATAAAGCAGTTTACGAAGCTATGAAATGTACAAGGATGATAGTATGGCAAGTGAAGATTACTGGACTTTAACAGACCATGATAAAGAGATCATGACTCAGTAGTCCATAAGTCCCCCAGAAGCAACTCGCAAGTAGAGTGAAGAGTGACAGACTAAAGGGCATGAATTCCACGCTTTTAGTTGTTATCACTTGCTTCTGCAGTATATCCAGGTAAGATGTTAATTCCTTGTCAAAAGGGTCCAATAATTTATTATTTGTTGAGAAGTATATGTCAAAACATGATAGATTTCATGTTACATGATCATGATGTTTTGATTGTAGACAGTATGATGAGTTATGAAGACTCACCACAGCAATAAGAGGGGCACCATACAGTGCTGTTGAAGTTATCAACCCTGCACTCCCAACAAATACTTTCCTTTTATGATGATCGTGCAACAGAAAGGCAGAGATTAATGCTGTGGCTACGAATAGTGCAAGAAAGGTCAGTGTCAATGCTGCAACTTTCACCTGCATCATGTCATGAAAATATTTCAAAATCTTTGTGCAAGCCTTGACAGAGTTTTTTTCATTGAATAATATGTTGCTTAAATTATGAACATTAGTCATTTGTTCCCTAAACTGCGTGAAAAAGAAAAAAAAAAGGTTTCTGACTCGTAGAAGTATCAAAAGATTCCAAGGATGTTTGAATGGACTGACCTTTCCCTTCGGTGAAGAGAAGAAAAGATAGACGAGGACATAGGAAAATTCCAGTAGGAAACCTAGGCCATTGACGCTGATGAGGGAGAAATTTTCCCATCCTTTGCTTACAATAGGTAAGCCATACCAAGTGTAAATGAGAGCGTTGAGTAGAGCAACACTATACGGGACATATGAAAACCCTTGAGTGCTCTTCTTCTTTATGACTGTTGAAAATGTTAATCTGGGAAAACATAGAAATTTGAAAGTTATATAAAAATTTGATATCTTATGATCATGGAGAAAAAGAAAGAGAAGAAATATAAGTCGATGATACAATTGGGTAGAGGTTCACAGTACATGGGTGATGCGTAAAGTAATGCAGAAGCCAAATTTCCTGCACAAGATAAGATATATGGTAAACCTTTTGAGTTACTCATTTAATTTACATGATTAGAGTGTAGGGGTGTACCCAATATTCCAACAGCTATCCGTAGTTTATCCCCCATATTATCACACTAACAATCCCGGTCTTGAGATGGAGAAGGCGGTGGGATAATGATACTTCACAAATATTTATTGTTAGTTCAGCATGGTCTGTTTGGCAGCCCTTGATAGATACATATATATAGAGCCAAAGATGGGACAAAAGGCATACGATATAAAAATATTGGGAGCATAATTTTCCTTTTAACTTATTCTGATCATATAACTTTTGTATTATTGTACTAGGCAAAATAGTTTTGATGGTGGAACAACATGAGGTGAACTGTTTATGTTCTGATTCTGTTTAAAATTTACATGGCTTATAATGTTGTTCACTTATTGATTTTCCTATTCTAGAAATTTTCCTTTTTCCTACTAATGGAAATTTATATTATCTGGTGGTCTTCTAATAACTTTTTGTATAAAAACTGTCAGTGTAATAATTATACTATAAAAGTCAGTAGTGGATTTTAAGAAAAAGTAAAAATTTTGGGCAGTAAGATCATTTCATGAGTCTTGCAAGAAAGTATATATTAGTGGAATTTTGTCAATTATGCAATCTTGTAGCAACCAAATTGGTTTGAGCAATTTAGGTGTAGATAGAGAAAATGATCTGTATCATCGTGGAAAGCAGCATCAATGGCAATTGGGGTTAGCTTTGTTGGTAGCCTACATCATCCGTCGGCCATGTAGATGCAATTTGATTCCCATATCCTCACAACTCAAGAGGTCTTACATGTAACTTTCGGGATGTAGGTTTTTCTTTGCTGCTACTTAGAGCGCTGCTACTATTAGTGCATTGGATATCCACCTGATTATCAATGTGCCTAAGAATCGTGTAGGTAGAAGTCATCAAACTAAGCCTATAAAGAAAACATTGTCTAATTAATCATTATAGTATAGCCTCAAACTAAGCCTATTAAGACTCGTTTAGGTAGAGTCATCAAACTACGCCTATAAAGAAAGCGTTGTCTAATGAAATAGCCTCAAAGGCTTCAATCAGTCTTGGCTTGCATAGTCCGTAGCTTACGTACAGATTATTGATGTTGGTATATCATATTATATAGAAAGCATAGTTAGCTGAGGAGAAAAGCCAATCAATGACGATTGTTATGCATGTCAACATGTCCATGAGCTATATAAATTTGTGGACGACAAACTTTGTACGCCTAAGACTTAATGTAGAAAGAATCTCATACTTATCCTTTGGATTAAGATCTTATTGGTTATTTTGTTCTTTTTAATCTTTGATGGAAGTAAACTAAGTAAAAGCTAGGCATAATTAGACAACTGTTTTAGGATATGTTGAGATGACGAGTAAAGTAAGTCAACTGATATGAGATGAAAGAGTATTCTTACTCTGATAGGCTGCTAAAAAACTTATGCAAATTGTACTTTGACAGAGGCAATCAACCTGACTTGACAACAGAGGTAAACAAGTTGGAAGAAACGGCAATGTAGGACGTTATGTCAGAGTAAAATATGTAGGGCATTAGCTTTAACATATTAAAGGTATGTTCTCATACGTTGAAATTCAGTTCAGTTCAGCTCCTAATTCCCTTCTCTTATAAAATATTCATTTCAGTTCAGTTAAGCTCAGTTCAGTTTAGTTCATTTCAGCTGAGTTCAGTCAATGAGAACATACCCTAAGTAATGTGCGGTTGTGCAAAGAGAACCCTATTCTTCAACCAATTTAGTTCCCTCTGAAGATTTATTTAGTTAAGCAAATCATATATTCTTAGAGAATTTGCTTGTAGCTTTTATCTTTTGTGCTGTATCATTGTCTATCTCATGAATTCTTGTTTATTTATAGAGAATCTACTTCTGTTGATCTAGAATCTTGGAGACTGGAATCATCACAATCTTTGTAAAGTTTACAGATTATGGTCATGATGTGTTGCATCATTAGAACTGCACTATTGTTATGTACTGACTTTATTTCGTGTATTCCAGAATGTTTACGACTTATTTGATTTACATGTCCTAATCAACAGTGATAGTACACAGTGACACATTTGAATGACTAGGTTATGAAGACTGTTGCAAAGAATAAGTTCCCTCTGTCCCATGGTGTATGAGGAGTCCCTACTTCTACTCCAATGGATTCCAACGCGACAGTGGTGTATGTAGATTGCTGCAACAGCAAGTAGAAGCTTCGTGTCTAACATTTTAAGCTTCGTGATTCAACAGTAAAGCTCAGAGTTTGAGGAATTTGATTCATCTCCGAGAGACTTGATTTGGTGTTAAAGTACGTACTCTATCCTTATCTCGAGTTTGTCAATTGAGGAAACGTACATTATTACGATGAGTGGATTGGTGAACTCCCCACCATTTCCAGGTGAATGGAAACCAGACTGATAGTTTACTCTGTTGTATCTTTCTGTTTATCTGCATCCACTTTCTTTTAAATCTGATCTCTCTTTTCTCTCAATCTTGTTATTGTTCCTTTGTGGGACAAAGTGCATATATACTCCAAATTATTGGCTATAATTAACACAATCTTAATGTAAATGGAATTTGGTATAATATTTTGGGGTCTTTATTCTTTAATTTTTTTTAGTTTTGCAGCTCAAAACAAGCCAAGAAATTCAGGCTTTTTTCTGTTGTGTTGCAATGCAGATTACAGTGTGCACCAAAAAGAGTTTATCTACACAATTTTATATTCTGTTAATGTTGTAAGTGGATTATTAGCTAGCCAATTGTCTTTAATTGGGAGCTTTGCCCTTTGACATGGAGCTTAGTGCTACCTGATGCGGATTACTTATTTTTTGTAAAGATATACATTGCGTAGGAATCAACTTGTATACTTACTTTCGCCAACAGAGAAACTTAAAGGCCGTCGTCTATCTAATTTGTTTACGTTACTTTATTTCAGAACCTTATTACTTAAGAGTTACATTATCAACCCATTCGCCGCTTCCTATCTATCTCCTACCCAATCATCCTCATCATCTTTTTTCTCTCACAATAGTCACAAGTCATACATATATCATCCTTTGCTACCTACCAAGCAACATTTGCTAAAATGTCTATAGAAGTTCTATTTCGTGTATGTGTAACCACACAATCTGAGTGATTACAGGACCAAAATTAGAAGATACTGCCCAAATTGATATAATACGAATCAACTGAAAGTTGGGTTGTTTAGTAAAAACTGATCATAGATTCGAAAATTTGGATCTCAGGAACTTATGATTGCCTTTGTGAATTTGGATTATTTAAGAAATTTAAGTCGTTTCCATGTTTTGTCATAGACACTATATTTGCTGTTGATAATTGTATATATAAGGTATTTTTTTACGTGGTAAAATATAAGTATTTAATAAATCTCATTTTACCCCAATCGTGTTAGATTCTTTTGAAAAATTTAACACAATTCTAGATAGTAAGATGCTTAGTTCATGTAAAATCAAATAATTATGCCATGTTTGTTCTTCAAAAGAAGAATAAGTTCTTCAAAAATAAAAATAAAAATAGATAAACTTTAAGAAAATTAAACAACATTTTTTAACTGCAAGTCCAAAAGGTGAAAAAGGTATATATCAGCAATTTTTAAATCCATGGAAAAAGGTGAAAAAGCCTCTAGCTCAAGGTTCCATCAAGGTACATACCAGCAATTTTTTTTTTCGTATTAAAAACCTACTAACGTTATGTTTGCTTCTGTACTATATGGTTATTTTATCGATGTTATCTAACTTAGTCGGTGAGGTTTATCGAGATTTTTTAAAATATTTGTCTTATTTTGCACAAATTGAAGGAGAAACCATAATAATGAATGAACATGAAGAGGATCTCATTTACAGAATGCATAGGTTAGTTGGAGAAAGGTAAGTAAAGTCCTCTGTTGCATAGTTTTTTTTCTTTATAGAAACTATAATGAGATAATGATTACTTTAACTAACTAGAAATAGACTTTATGAATTATGACCAGAATACCCCTGAGCACTTCTGCAAAATTGTAAACAATCTTTCAGGTGGAATCTGATTGCTGGGAGAATTCCAGGAAGAACAGCTGAAGAAATTAAGCAGTTTTGGACAATGAGAGATCCCCATGAATTTCGAAACAATAAATTGGTGGTTAATATGCAGGCAGATTCTTTTGTGCTATCAGCTGGTTTCGAATGGCATGCTCGAATAATTTCATGATTTCTTCAAATTAATTTTTTACTCAGACAATTAAAGATCACATACGCTTTATATATTAAGCAAAAATGTAACATTTCATGCACAGAAAGCCAAAAACTTAAAAAGTTGAAAAATAATACTGCAGTATTTAAAGTAATCATTAATTTCATATTTCCATACAGTATGGGGGGTAAAGGACAGTCATCTGTCAACTACTCAACTTGATACAAAACTACAAAAGAAGATATAAATCTGGGTAAAAAAATAGATCACAGGTAATATTTACTTCTGAAGGAAGGGAGTATATATGCAACATCCAATCCTAGCCTATAACATTAGGGTATACCATATATCTACTAGTATGTTTTATATGAATAACACTATGATACAGAATTTAAGTATTATCTCAGCAGAAGAGATGGAAGGGTGTGAATGGACAGATCATATATATGTACCATGATGAGATTGATGACACCATCTCAAGCCAATTTGATTCAGGATATGTGACGCCGAAGATAATCTACTCGAGCTGGATGCTTAAGCTTCATTAGTGCCTTCATTTCGTGCTTCCTGACCATTTCTCTTGAAATGCTAAGGTTTCCTGCAATTTCTCCCAGTGTTCTATCTCCTTTGCCATCAAGACCATACCTTTGCCGAATGACCAAACTCTCTTTGGGCTTTAAAGAGTCAAGCTGTCAAGGAATAGCACAAATTATGTACAATTTCTAAAAACTTCATCCACAACCATCATGTCATTTGTGGTCATGACCAATAATGAAATGAAGTGTAAAGTTGGGATGGTGAATATAAAATTTTGCCATGTAATAATGAGGTGTAAGCGTTCCTAAAAAAGTTCAGGTAACAAGCCCTCATTCTAGATAGTCTCAAAATTAATCTTTTGACGAAATATATAAAGTCCTGTGGAATGTAGATGAAAGACATTACTTACCACATCATCGATTGCAAGCCTAAGAAGGGCTGGTTGCCTTTGCTTGTCGCTCCCAACACCATCTTCATCAGTAATCCCCTTGATGAACTCCTCTTGTGTGACTTGATGCCTAGCATGTAGGGAAGAGATGGAATTCGAAGCTCTCATCACTTCTTTATATCGTTCTGGGGAGATTCCAACCCTTTCCATTATTTCTTCCTCTGTAGGCATTCTTTTGAGCTCAAACATCAACTCTAATTTGGCCTTTTGAATTTCCACCCTGACCTGCAGCAGTCAATCATTAAATATTTACAAGGGATCGTATCTGATAAATTGGTTTGGTTATTAATAAACAAAAATTTCAGTACATACGCTTTGGAAATAAAATGACAATATTTTGGAGCATGTGGTTTGGATATTTAATCCTAAGGTTTTCATATGAAAAACAGAGAAGAGGTAAAGTTATTGACATTGAGAGATAAAGAACAGAAATCCATACTTGGAATGATGGAAATGCACCATGGTTTAGCACATAGATTACTGAAAACAATACTAAGGCAAGTGGATAAATTTAGTAGCATTTATAAGAAAATATGAGCATACCGATTCAAGACCAAAGGGGACACGAGTAAAGCTTGAAACAGTCATTGAACGAATGATGGCATGCCTTATCCAAAACAGAGCGTAAGTAGACAGCCGAAATTTTCTCCTTGGTTCAAAGCGATCAATAGCAGTAATCAAACCCTTCACTCCTGCCTGACACAGGTCTTGAAAATTTGGTCCATTTGTGAAGTCTTGGAAATATTTGTTCATTACAAACAAAACTAGTCTCAGGTTGTGCTGCAAAATCATAAATTAAACAGTTAATAAAATTTTCTTGATTACTCACAGCACCAAATACACCATGATTGCATTATCATCAAGAACTCTCATTACCAGGCAGGTTTCGAATTTTTTCAAAAGAACAGGCACCATGGAAGTACTTAATATGGCTCACTTCTGCGTGCTGCATTGGACATATCCATGCTTTAAAATTTGATGTAAAGAATTAACAGGGTTCACTTCACAAAATTCAACATCATTTTTGTTCACCAAGTTTTCTTAAAAATATGTCAAAGAGGATTTGGTAGAAACATTATGTGATCTCACTTTATATTGTGAAATGTCAAACACAAGAATGAAGTGCAGGCTTTAAGCATGTTATAAGCACATAAGAACAGGTTTGAACTTAAAATAGAACCGCAGAAGCAAGTAAGCAACAACTTATAAACTAATGTTTTCTGGAAATGATTCAAAACATTTCAAAATCATAAAACAAACACAAGATTCACCTTAATCAACTTGTTTCTTGCAGCATGACCAACTTCCATGTGTCTTCTTACTTGTACTACAGTCATGTTTGTTGCTTCTCCTAATTCATTGTCAGTTGGATCTCTTCCCAGTTCTGTCCTCAGGTTCTCCTTTGTTTGATTAAGGGCCTACGTTCATGGAGTAAAATATATCCATTATTGAAAAAAGTGCATGCAAGTATCATTTAAGCAGGAAAGGAGACAACAGAAGGAGACGCCAAGAGACCCAACACTTCCATCCGAATCTTATTATAAATATATAATCCCTTCAGCCCTTCACAGTGCCACTTTGGAAAGAATGTCAGGAGGAAAAGATTTTACTACCTTCATTGGTTCCATCAACTTAAACAACCAAAAGTGTTCAGAAGAAGGAAGAACTGGCGGTATCTTCATCTTCTTCCAATCCAAGCTGGCCAAATCAGTTGAGGCAGAATATTCTCTTACAAGCTCATCAATCTTCTCATCTTCATTCTTAATCACATTCTTCTTTTTTGCTAGAGGAACCACCTTCTCTTCCTTACGTTCTTTGTTTTGCTTCATTTCAATTCTCTTCGCAAGGCTCAATCGTTTTGCTTTCCTGTTCGTGCTCCTCACCACATTACTGTCAGTTCCTTTCTCCTGTTTCTCATCGCCAGTGCTCTTTTTTCTCCTTCCTCGTCTTTCTTTTACCACTTGGTCAATGTTTTCTGCGTCTGATGCATCTGTTGCAGGACTCAGCTTAAAAATGCTTTCCAGCTTAGCTGCAGCTTCATTAAGATCTAATTCAGAGGAGTACGGAGAAGCTTCAGCTATGCTAGCAGCACGAACTCTTTTCACAGGCTTTGTGACTGATCTTAATCTCTTTTGATTCTCTTTCTTTGTCTCTGCATGTAAACGGCTAGGCTCACTCACTGCAACTAAGGCTGTCTTTTTGTTTTTGTCTACTTTGAACCCCAGAATTAAGGGTCCGTTAGAACTAGATTGATGAGCTGTTGATCTTCTGCTTAATCCTAAAGATGCTCGAGAAGCTGAGACTGAAACAGTCACAACTCCCATATCAACTTCCTATGCAGAAGGTGTTTACTGCAGAAAAACCCTGCAAGTTATGGATTATGAGCAATAGCTAGAATATGAGACCATAAATTAATAGGTATTTAAGTATTTCTAGATTACCAATAATAAGTTATTGCCACTGGCTCTTAAGACTCTTACTAATTATTTTCCCAATAAATTAGACAAGTCTTCTCAAACTCGGTCACTAGGATCAGTATCAAACTCGACAGATGTTATTCAAACTCGATCACTAGGATCAGTATTAATACATGCCCAAATGCCAACTCAGCATTTATGAAAAAAGTTGCATTTTTAAGGTCCAAACAGAAGTTCCCATATGACCATATCCATGTCAAAGTGTCATACTCGAGGTGATATGTGTAATGTAGAGTAAAATAGTTCAAAACACAGGAACAATATGGAAGATAACCCACCAAGGCACCAAATAGCAACTACAAATATACAAAAGACTTGCACTCCCCCCACATCTTTTTACTATTTCCTTTAAAAGCACTTCCTAATACTCTCCCTGTTCCTTAAAAAGTTTTTTTACACTACTAGTTTCAAATTATTCCTTAAAGTTCATCCCAAATTTTCTTTACTGTTTGAATTGTACTGGTATTAAGTAAATAGATTTTCCCTATCTTTCTTCTCCTGCCCCACTTGTTAGACCCACTTAATTTTACACTTTCTCATAACCAAATTCTCATACATACATATTCTCCTAACTTCTTTGGTAGGAAGAACTCTAGGAAACCTCTTGTGCTAGTTGAACAATCCTATAATTCACATAATAAAATGATAAATTCAATCAAAGACAGACGATCCAACTGAAATTAGTCTAAACAATGTCCTTGATTCCCATTCATATGAATGTATCCAACACTACATGAGTTCATCTTTCATCACATCACAAATATCAACTTCACAAAAAATTCTGAGTACATAAACTTGTATTGCTCCCTCACCGAGTAAACTCGAAAATCTCTTCTATATGCAATATACACTCCATTGGTATTTGGTTCACACCTTGACCTTAGGCACCCTAATTTAAGGTATGTCAAAATCAAATATGCACATTTGCCCATTTAACCAAAGAGGGATCAATCCCCTCCTACACCTTTTATATAAGAACGATAACATAATCGATTCAAAGTCATACGACATCTACCACAGAATGATAAACAAACAAACAAATATATATCAAATTGGATAAAAATAAATTATAGTCCGGCCATATAAATTTGGCATATTTACCCGAATTATGAGAATGATCATAAGCCGTCAATAATTACAACAGCAATAATTCAGCTGAACCATGTCATCACTCATTCAATCTTATGCACAATTTCACTTCAATATATTTATATAAACTCTCTTTTTTCAAAAAAAAAATTCTAATATGATCAACAATAATATTTTTGCCTCAATTTCTAGCTTAACACAAGTACAAAAAATAAAGAATCTTAAATTTAAGCAAGTATAATTATTTTCAAAACAAAATTTATAAAAAATGAAAGAAAACTTACCCCAATTGGAAAATACACCAAAAAGCTTAGAAATTTGAGATTATGGCGCAAACCCAGATACAAAAATGCGTTGATTTTGTTAGATCAAAGAAAATGGGAAGAAAATAAGTTGAGTGTTGGTACTAAAAATTAAAAGAATTTGCTTTAAAAATAAAGAAGCCAGAAAATAGAAAATGAATTTATGGGAAAATTATGGCAACCACAAGCTTAGAGGAGAGAGAAGAAACAAAGAAACGAGTGACATTTTGGCAGAGAATTCTACATTTCTATTTTTACTGGATTTTTTAGTGACGTGGAACCAGTTTTATGTAACACTATGGAGTATGTTGAAAAGTTGAATTTGAATTAATATAGCTTAAAATAAATTATTATAATATTATTTTGCTCATTGATTTTTGTTCATTTTAAATTTGATCATTTAAAATGAGTAAAGTTTAGTGAGTAAATAATTCGGGTGCAGAACAGTCTCTTGGGTTCGGACAATACTTTGAGTTGATGATATTATTAGTTACTACAAAGTGAATACAACACACTTTCTCTAAAAAAAATAAAAATAAAAATAAAAACGTAAATGCAATACTCCTTGCCAATTTTAACCTTGAATTTTGTTTAATTCAACTTATTTTGTCTGAAATTATTTTATTTCACCTTATTTATCTAAAATTATTATTGTGAGTCAAAATGAAAAAAAAAACCTTATTTGTTATGAAATTGTCTTAAATTTATTTTTGATTTTTTTTTTTACTCCGTATATCTCAAGTTATTAAAATTTGTTTTGAGGTATATGAAGTTTAGAAACTGCTTTCTTTTTGCATAGGTTAACCAATGTAATTGTTAAAACTAATAGGTCGTTTCGTAATGTTTAAAATTTTAACATTTTTGTTTAAAACATAATCGTAAAACTTTATAAAGGTAACATATGCATGATGCATTATATAAAAGATTAAATTAGTGATTGAATTGAAGCCTGAGAATATATTTTATATACTCTATTACATTATAGTGTACATCTAATGCATACTATCATACTCAAATTATTTATATACTTCCTACGGGTAAACATAATTTTATAGTACATGTAGATATGAAAGTTGGATTTTTAAAAAGAGAGTTCTCTTAGTAATTTATTTGATAGAAAAATATAAAAGTTGAGTAATTAATTTATGAGTACGATAGACAGCCAGCATGGAACAAAGATGTGCCACGGCAGCTAAAATATAATTTAATGGATGATGTATTTGCCACGTGCATAAGATTTGGAATTGACTCAAATTATTTGTATTTGGGTGGCTTCAAGGACCTTACGTTGCTACATTATGGCCATGAGATATTATTTTTTGACCCTTCTTATTTTTGGTGGCAACTTTTAAATTGGAGTTTTTTTCATTAATAAACTACAATTATATCCACAATAACCATAACTTTATAATTATCCACGAATAATTAACAAGTGTCACCATCTTATTATATACAAGAAGATATTTAAACCCAAACAAAAACCTATAATGAGAAACGAGACTTTGCATATATTTTGACACTCCTTAGTTTACAAAGTATTACTTGTTTAATTTTAATATGTTCTCTTTACCATATATTTTTCAAACTAAAATAATACCAAGTGTTTATTAAATCAAAATTATTTAGATCGATTAAACTTAGGGTTTGTTCACTTCAACTTAGTTTCAGTTCAGTTCAGCTCTAATCAATTCAGCTCCCAATTTCCTTATCTCATAAAATATTCATTTCAACTTTATTCAGTTCAATTTAATTTACTTTATTTCAGTTCAACTCAGTTTAGTAAATGAAACAAGCCTTTATTTTATTAATTTGTTCTATGATGTACGAGTATCATATTTGTTCTATGATGATACTTTTTTTTTCCTACATTTATTTAGTTTTGTTAAACTTATCTTATTTATAGTTTTACTGAACGTAAATTAATTACGGTGTAGTTTTTATAGGATTAGAAAATAGCTCCTTTTGAATTTTGATCATCCTAAATTCCAAAGGGTTTTACGTAATATAGAGCGATTATCCATTGCCAACCAACTTAGTAGAATATCTTTTGGGCCCAGAAAGACCGATCTCTTGAACGTTGGACCGCATTTTTTTTTGGGCCACGCAGAAAGTAGATCGTCAAACTTCAAAGCTCTAAATCCAAGCAATCAAGCACCAAGCAAAATGCAATAGACTTGTCTGTACACATATTTTTGTTAAACGGGTTTAGGCCATATTCAGAAAATTCAAGTTTATCAATATGATAAACAAAATTTGTTTATCAAATGGTAAAATTGTAAATAAATCAACAATTTTTTAGTAAATATGTGTCCCACTTTCCCACTGTTGATATATTTACGAAAATGCCATGATGACTGGGCATTTATGTTGTTTTATTTACCATTTTGCCATTTGATAAACAAATTTTGTTTATCAAATTGATTAACTGGGGCTTCCTCGGCCATATCCGTCACAAAAATTAAATATATTTTTTTTCAATACCCCTCACTCTTTACATTTATTTGATTGATGTGAGACAAAACTTTCACTCAAATGTGAATTTGCTCATTAGTTCAATAGCTTACTATCTTAAACATTTTAGGTGAACAACCCCATCAGTCCAAATTCAAGAGGATGTACCTTGAATTGGTATATAGACTATATACCCAAGGTATGCATCTTTAATTCCGAGCTAATGAGACTTGGAGAGTAATTAAGAAAATCATCAATTTGGCTCATTGTCAAATTTAGGGTTGGCTAATACGGAGTAATGTTTGTATATTGCATTTATTTAAATTAAGATTGACAAAATGGTACAACTTGACTATAATTAAATGCAAATGCCAGCCTTTTTCAATTCTGGTCAAAAGATGATTATTCCTCGATCTATTATTCTATTGGGCGTGGAAATAGAATTTTGTCAAATTAATTATCAAACTCTAATCTGATATATAAGTTGATTAAGGTTAGTTTTATGAAATTGTCCATGTGACCTAGGTATATCTAGTTGGCCCTTGGCCGGACATCATAACTTGGTCTGCTATGTTCTTTAATCTCAATTTGATTACAGAATCACCATTTTTTTTTTCTTATATATGCATACACTACCCATTGTTTTATAAAACTCATATCTTTTGAAGATGATACATTATATGTTATGAAAAATGTTAAGAATAACACTAGTGAGATTTTGAGCGTCTTCAAAACCTCACATTGTTTCTTAGTTCTTATATATTCATTTTATTTTGCAAGATTCTCAATAAGATCGGGTGTTTCATTCTGTATGATTCTCACTAAAAGCGTCGTTCTACTTCTATACATGCACATTAGAAGCACATAAAATCTAGTCTAAAAAAAGCATGATAAATTGATTCTACCGTATATTCATTCCTGTATGTATTTTATGTTACCCTAGTAGGTTGAGCTTCCTGGATTCTATACTATTAGAGGTCATTTTCTGTTTAATAAATAAATAAATAAAGTATTAATATTTAATAGGGCATGCACGAAAATGGAAATATAAATTGGTAAGGACAAACTCTTGATTTAATTATATTATCATTTTACTGTAACAATGATTAAAGTAATGTAATTTACATTACTTATTTTTTTTATTATTCATCAGCAATAACAAATGTGTTGGCATCTCAATCACTGAATGGCTGCACTTTCTCCAAAGAAATTAACAATAGGGAGATAGATACTCACTGTAGATTTCAATCTAGTACTACTACTATTACTATTATTGTACTACTAATATTTTGTCGGATCGAATATTAGTACAATAGTAGTACTAAATAAATGGCATACCATCATAGTATAAGTTTATGTTTATGTTTATGTTTATCTGTGTGACAATATAGGTATCAATTACATTAGCTAGCTAGTTTAAGTTATGGAAGAATATACTTCATATGTAGTAAAGTGAGAAAGCTAAGTCCCAGTTAATCAATTTGACAGATATCCACAACTAATTACTCATATTAAACCTTGCATGTATATATGATCATAATGTTATAATTATAATTTTAATAATAATTTCACGTAATTCCATATTTCACAAAAATTTATTGAGTTATATATATACATATACATATATATACATATATATATACATATATATATATACTTGTACTTGTATTATTTAATTGGGCTTTTTGTCAAAAACTATCAAATAAAACCCATATTTTGCGAAAAACTACCAATTTAAAAAAGTGTTGTGATAAACTACCTAACAAAGGTAAAATGTTATAAAAAAAAACTACCTAAGAAAATTAAAGGTAAAATATTGTAAAATACTACATATATCGAATTTTCACCGTTGATCGACCTCAAAACACTCCCAAAACCACCGCTTTCAATTCATTCCCAAAACTAACACAACTTGCTTGAAATCGTCTCCACCACATCTAAACCACCTTTCAACCCCAAACCCACCACCTCTAACCCTAAAAACCACAATCCGGAAGCACTAATCTACCCTCACCAACTCGGAATATCCTCCAACCACCCTGAAAATAACCTTACCACGTTGAAAACCAACCCTCACGGTAGTTTGGGGGGTGTTCTAAGGAGTATCAACATCCTAAAATTAAGTCAACGGTGGAATTTCGGTCTAAGGTAGTATATTACAACATTTATCTTTTACAAGGTAGTTTATCACAAATTTTAGGTTGTATAAGGTAGTTTTTGACAAAAAAAAACACCCTATTTAATTTAGTGTCTTGGCCGGTGTTGGTTTGAGCCATGTGCAGTTTGACAATCTAGCTTATGCACAACCAACTTGTTATATAATATAGACAGATCGTTTTATAAGGGGATTATAAACCGTAAAAACCAGCTTGAGTATAGAGGGCACGGTCATTGCGCACCTCTAGCAATGTCGATCTAACCACACCGGAGAGTGTGGATAAGAAGTATGAACAAATTTTTTTGTACAATTGTCCCAACAAGCGAGGAAAGGGAGATCTAGCAAGCGGAATCTTCGCCCTAAATGTGCTGAATGTGCATACTGCACACCAACCTAAGTAAACAATTAAAGAAAACAATATTATTACATTACTATAATTAGGAGATGATTCAAAGTTAAAAGATGTTTTAATTTCCAATGAATTAAGGTTTTAAAATAATAGGAACATATCCCATATATTGAGGCTAGGATTGAGCTTAGTGCGTGGATGGTCTGACCATAATGGATGACCTATTTATTTTCGACGTAAGCATGGCTTTTCATGCTGATGTCATATACTCTTTTTTTCAACCCTTCTACTTTTTAATTAATTATTTTAAATATTGGGTTGTTGTTCATAGATTAAGTTGTTTTAAATATTTTATGTTAATTTAGACAAAATTATGTGCGTTTAGTGTATAATTGAATTTATGGTATATACTCTATTACGAAATAATTATCCTTATTGAGTATGAACTAAGAATTAAATTAGCAATTTTCCAATTTTTTTTTTATAGTTCTCGTTTGTTAGTGTTGGCGGATAGTTGGTGAGCACTTGTATTATGCAACGATCTAGCAATAGGATCAGGTGGTACATAATTCATATTCCTTTTCACAAGAAATAGTAGAATGAGGTTACTTCATTCAGTATATATGTAGTCTATGTACTTGCAAAAAAGTTGGAAACCCAATTTAAGTAATTTTTTTTTTTTTTTGTGAATAGATACTAGTCATACTACTATAAACTGTTTTTTTTTTTTTTTTTTTTTTTTTTTTTTTTTTTTTTTTTTAATCCATATGTTTTAAAACAATAATCAATCAATTACATTATACTAAAGGCGAAACTTAGAGAACGGCCTTGTTTGGCAAGTGGCTGTTGGCGGTTGGCTGTTGGCTGGTTCACTTGGCTTGTTTGACCAGCTGGTATGTTTGGCTGTTTATAATGGCTTTTGAAATTGGCGGTTAAAGCTGACTGTTTATAAAAGTGTTTGGTAAATTAATTGTTGGTAGTTGACTGTTTATTAGATAATTTGTGGGCCAACAAGCCAAAAGCCAACAAAAAAGCTACTCAAAGCAGCTTTTTATTTTGGCTTAAAAGCCAGCTTTTTCACTGGCTAAAAAGCCAATTACCAAACACATTTTTTGGCTGTTTGACCTCATAAAAAAGCCAAAAGCCAAAAGCTAACCAAAAAGCCACCAAAAAGCCATTTACCAAACATGGCCAACATTTGACAAAATATTATAAAAAGTTTTCCCTTCAAAACCACTTACTAAAAAAAACTTATTGTAATTAAATTATGACTTTTAGTTTGTATAAAATCTAAAATAAATGTCCTTAAATATCAAATTGCCCTTTGTAAATTTGTAACTAGCTATAACATGTTTAATTAATTTCTTTCACAATATTTCATACTTTTTACTACTAAGTCTATTTATAATATTTATATCCATTATTTTTGGTAAAATTTATTGTCATTAGATTATTTAACAATAGTGCATTGCACGGGGTTTAATCTAGTTAAACATCTATAGTAGTAATCTGGAAAATAAAAAAAGTACTTATGTTATTCTTTGTACAAGATATTATCTCCATTCTATAATTAAACATTAATAAAAAATAGTCGTAGGTGATATAATGAAATTATATATCAATATTAAAGTTGATCAAGTGAGTCATTAAGAATAGTATCTATTAAATTCAGGTGTAGTTTGGTTGACAAAAAAAAAAAAAAAAATCAAATCAAAGAATATTAAAAATTCTAGAAAAAAAAAAATCTATTGTATTGTTTAGTTGACAAATTCACGAGAAGTAGAAATATGACATGTTTTAAAACAATCAACATGTCTAAGTAGGCAATACAAGTTAACCCCTCTATAGCTTTTAAAGGATTGATGAGTAACAACATCATATATGCTAACACATGTTAATGCTGTCCATTAATCATAACACAAAGATCACTCACACATTTCCCCTCAAGATATATTACTAACATAAAATTTGATGTTTGGTGCCACCTAGATCATGCCACATGTCAATACGGTATTATGCCATGTCATCATGACATCATTGGACGAAACAACTTCACAATCTACTCCTAATTAATTTTTTGAACAAATAATTATTAAAAAAGCTAAAAAAATAAAATAAAATGATAATACTATGATTAATTAGTATCGTTAGTCGAGATAGCTTAAAAGAAAAAAAAAATCAATTTAGCTACTATAAATAGGCAAATTTCTCATTTCTATAATATTATTTCTAATAAAAACTTAGGAGTAAGAAACGCGGATAAATATTTTTTATTATTAAGTGACAAGTACATACAAACTAATTAACTATGGTTATCAATAAGTTGATTAATAATATTCCACTTTAAAAAAATTCCACTTTATTTTCTTGACCTTATCTTACGTTAATAGTCAAGACCGTGTGCAATAGTCGAGCCACATTTGACCGTAGAAACAAGTCATATATTCTCAAATACTTGATCTTTTTAGCTTGCTAGCTAATTCAAAGGTGAGTAATTAACACACTCTTTACCCTTTCTCTCTTTATCATTCCCTTGTTCTATTCGATCTAGCTAGCTATTTACATGATGAGCATGCTTCTTTGAGATTCGATCTCGGGATCTCGCGAGAGGGTGGCACGACGACCCGGCTCCCCCGATTGTTGAAGAACTAGCTAAAGCCATTGTGCAACTTGCGTGTGCTAGCTAGGCGCCATTGAAAGATTCATCCATATCAAAATCCTCAACTTGTTTGTGTTTATTTACTAGTATGAGTTTGCAACTTGTGTAGTTGACTCTCATGTTGTCCCTTTTTAATTTGTTTTTAATCATCTTATCTTTCCATTTTTGAATTATATTATATATAAGTTTACAATAATTAGTATTTTGTGTTTAGTTTTAGTTAGCAAGAAATATATGAGGTATATATATTGATTGAATCATATATATATGTTGGTTTTATAGGGCTTATTTTGGGTAAGAAATAAAGAAAAATAATGGGGAGCAATGTGAATGATATGATGAGTTCAAAGAGTTTGGTGAATGTGCTTGTTGAAGGGAGAGATCTTACTAGGGAACTTCAGTTGGGTCTTGGCAACGAGATACACTCATCTTCCAATAAAGCATATGGATTGATGGCTAAAGACATTTTGGCCAAATTTGAAAGGTCATTACAGATCTTGCAATATGATTCAACGAACCAGTTTCAATTTCAGCTGACAACTCCTGCAACAAATGACTCCCCTAATTCCTTTAGTGGAAGCCCTAAAAGCTTAGATTCTGACGGAGATTTCAGAGATCCAGCTGAATACAAAGATGACTCTAAAAAGAGGTAAGTGTCTACCATGTGAAGATTCAATTTGGCTCATTAAACTAGATAATTTTCGACAGAGATCCAGTTTAAAGAAAGGTTTACATTTTGTGGTTTCCTATAGTCGTTGACTATATAGGGATAAAGTTGTGTATATCCAGACCTTTATTTACAAACTTTTCTAGCTCAAATTTGATTCTTACTTTTTGTGTTTTGTTATTGTAGTATTGTTTACTTTTTGTGCATAAAAAGGAAGAAACATGATTATAGACATTATTTTTTTGTTTTCTATGTTTAATTTATCATATCATTTAATTTGTAGGTCTTAGTTTTGAAAATCATTACACTTTTGTGATAAAGGTACCCTCATCAATATGTGCCATTTTTATCATCAAATCAATTTCATTAATCGTGCTTAATTAAACTTATGATCAAATTAACTATACTATGTACTTCGTATTACAGAAGGATTTCTCCTCGAATTACACAAAGAGTGCAAGGTTCTACTAGCAGTGGACTCGAAGGACCAATTGAAGATGGTTATAATTGGAGAAAATATGGACAAAAGGACATTCTTGGAGCCAATTTTCCAAGGTATGTAATGTTATCAGTACATAATTAGGATTACTTAATTATTATTTAATTAATACAATATTATTGCATATTTTATCCTTATCATATATATGAATGTCCATAAAACAAGGAAATTAAAGCATAACAGAAGCTTCAAATAACAGATACCAATATTAGTATATAATAATCCATTAATCCGTACTCATTGTATACAGTACTTTGCAAACTCTGGTTGTAGTTCAGTCATTAATCATGCATTCTTCCAGCTAATTAAAGAGTTAATTTATAAATTGACACCTATCCATGAATTATCAGTGATAACTTATACAATTATATATATATTTTTTGAATGACATTTTTAAGTACAATAATAACGATTGCATGATTAATAAGTTCGATTATTGCTATATACTTGTATCATCTACCACACGCATTCTAATTAAACAAGTCAATACTTTACTTCCACAAATATGGAATTTAACGGGACAAATAATGTGTGATTCCTTGTGTGGAAATTAAGGGAACATATATAGTGTGTGTGTGTTTTTTTAATTTAATTTGCATGGTCGGAAACAGATTTGGGTAACAATTACCATTACCTATAAGTATTAATTAGGTAATGATTTCAGCTTATTTAATTTATTATAAGTATTGGGTAACGATTGCCATTATCTATAATGTGTGATTCCTTGTGTGGAAATTAAAAGGTTTGGGTAACGATTACCATTACCTATAAGTATTAGATAATGATTTCAGCCAATTTAATTTGTTAATAATTACCTCTTTAAAACCTAGCTAAGATAACAATTACCTTGTATCTTCTCAAACAAAAAAGAAAAGGAGTTAAATTTAAGTGATTATTTTCATGGTTAAACCAAACAAATGAAAAGGTGATTAAATGATTCATTCTCCTCTCTTATTCCATTCCTTTACAATGTTCATACTAAACACCACCTAAAGGTGTTTATTATTTCATCTAATACAATAATAATTACTATGATCTTGATGATGATTTGCAGGGCATATTATAGGTGTACACATAGAGTTTTCCAAGGGTGTTTGGCCACAAAGCAAGTGCAAAGAAGTGATGATGATCCTAGCTCCTTTGATGTCACTTATCGCGGTAAACACACCTGTTCTCAGGCAGCTTCCTCCTCCTCCTCCTCGTCCTTCCAACTTCCAAACCTTACACCCAAATCCGAACCTATTGAAACCCTAATCTACACTCCTCATCAACATCCACATTCTCAACAACCACCACAAAAAATCATGTGGAATTTCAAAAGAGACAATAATGTTGAAGACATCAAACCTATTATTAACACTCATAATAATAATAATAATAATAATAATAATAATAATAATAATATCAACCTAAAAAATAAATGTCCTTCCTTTTCCTTCCCTTCATCCTCTAATTCATTGCTTCATCATAGTGCTAATAATAACTTTGTTGATCATGGAAATTTTCCTACCAATTCAAGTACATACACAACATACCAATCTTCTCAATGTCTAATGAATAACAACTTCAATGATCATAACAATAATCAGAATAATATTGAAGTTGATCATCAATTACAAGGTGCTTTGATTCAACAAAATGGTGTCCATCCATCATCTACCTCGGCTGCTAACTCCCCAACGATTGCATCGGAGCTTTCGTTTGATCATCATGAAGGTGAATTTGATGATGTTTTCAATCTTGAAAACCCAAATTATTATTAATAGTATTTGTTTGTGCACATACATTTTTCCAAGGATGACAAACAGCAATTAGTAGGTTCGCATTTTAATTTGAGTAGTGATGGAATGCATTTGTTTCCTAGGTTTAGTTAAGTGAATGAGAGTCCTCCAGAAAAATTATATACTAAATACTCCCTCCATCCAAAACGAAGTTTTATTGTCCTATTTTTAGTGTAATTTGAACTAGTAATGTGACGACTAAATAGGTCTGGATGGCGGTAGTATTAGTATACGTGTCTACCTATTTCCTTTAGTTTCCTGATTTAATTAATTTCTAACAATTTTGTTTTGTGCCCACGTACATTTATTTTTTTCCCTTTAGTTTTCAATTCAAATACTTGATTAGAAATGATCTATGTATTCTTATTCAGTATTTAGTTCTTCTAAGTTGTAACATAATAATGATTATGAAATAATTATTGGAAGTTGAAGGTTTTTTATTGACATGTTGTATGTCTTAATTTTGATGCATGTATGCTGACATCGTGGTAATATGCAACTACACACACACATATATATATATATATATATATATATATATATATATATATATATATATATATATTTTAAAATAGATGCAACTATATCAAAAACTTTTGTATATATTTCTTCAAAAAAAAAAAAACTTTTGTATATACCCGGTTTACACTAATTTTATTGTACATCGAGCAGTATAAGGGTAACTTTTACCTAATTTTAGGGTAACTTTTTGCCTTTTTTTTGGAAACTTTTAACATAATACAATTTTTTATATAAATAGACAATAAGAAAAGTTGTATAATGGTAATTTAATTACATTTAACACAAATAATTGATTTTTAGTCATTTAAAATGTGATTCTTTACTAAAAAATTTTATTTGTATTGGATTACTTTTATGCATATTAGGGTAACTTTTATTTATTTTAGGGGTAACTTTTGATCAATCTAGTCTATCTTTATAGTGGATGTACAATAATTATTGTACACCCAATTTTTTTTAAAGTTTGTACAACTATATTATATATATATATATATATTTAGTTAGAGATACTACTTTTTGCCTTTTAAAAGAAAATATTAACCTATTATGAGGATTTACACACTTGTATGTAATTTATAAGGACACACCATATTTATATATTGGCCAATATATTTGGAAATACAATATCAACTTGTCTTGCTAGATATATTCTAATATACTTCCTCCGTTCTATTAATATTACAACAATGGACTTTTTGCACTATTCATCACTCTTGTTTGACTCATATAATATGAGTTATACGTTAAGCAAAATATGGTCAAGTGGGATCTTGTTGGATTCGTCTCATATAATACTTTCACAATATCAACTTTTTATAATTTTTACACTTACACAATTGTAGATATTTAGCATATAAAATGTGTTTTGGGATGCGTAATTTCCTCCTTGTTGCAATATTAACAGAACAGAGGAAGTATATGATTTCCAAATATTTACAAAATTACAAGCAATTGCACCTCATTGCTCTAGTCCTACAATAATATATTCTTAGGGAGAATCCGTGTTTGATCCCCACAATAATAATTGGAAGGGAACTAGAACTTTACCACTCAGAACTAATCCCCGAATACAGATTAGCCCAAAAGGCGAATCGGATGGAACACCAAAAAAAAAAAAACTTTTTTTTATTTAATTTTGTTTTTTGCACAATTACCATTATTGTTTCATTTATTTATACACATTTCAATGCTCAGTTATGCAACCCAATCCATAATACCCAAATTGAAAATAAAACTAATCGAAAAAGTTAACTTGATACACAATGTGACTAGAATAATCAATTTCGCTTCAACATGAAATTAAACTAATTAAATTTTAAAACAATATGAATTAATTGACCCAAATCAAATTGATTTAGAGATGTTTATTTGAATAGTGAAGAAATATATACAAATTGGTGGCAACTGGATTAACGTTTATTATATTATTGTGGCACCCACACAAAGATTACTTGCAAAAACTCAAACATGGGTTCAATTGAAAGTTTTAAATTAATAGGAAAAATTCATAGGATAATAAATTCATTAAATTATAAAAGAAAATGAAAGATACAGGATTAATTAGCGGAATTACTCATTCTTCAAATATAAAATTTTACAAAAATGAGATGTTAATAACATAAGAAATAGATATGTATAATTCTTTTAGCCTTTCATGGCATACCTCTTAATTGTTGATGTATCACATGACTACAACTGATACTCTTATGCCTTGTATTAAATCTGTTTTCATTATTAATTAATTTACCATTCATTATTAATTAATTTAGCAAACATGATCGTGCTTTGTTGTTTATAAAATCCGTGATAATGAAATATAATATAGTGTTGTAGATTGCAAGGTATAATAGAAGATATTATCTAAACTATAATGCTTTTTGATATTATATCCATAATAGTTGATATATATAATTAATTTCATTAAAACCTACGTATGTATAATAATCACTGTGATAAAATCATCTTTGAGGATATTCTAAAGTTCACAAGTGATTGCAGGTCTTTCTATTTCTTTTTCATCAAGAGGTTGTATAATGTAGTGGCTTATAGCTTAGTTGAAGTAAGTTACAAAATAAGTATAGTTTGAATTACAAGAGGCTATTTGTAATGATCTTGATTTTTTTCACTTATCAATACCATCCAACAACACAATCTCGGACATTGTCACACCATCACAAAGCCAATTTGCAAATACTTACAAGAGAACAAATTTAGGTAAATGTCAATGGTGTCATATCCTTTCACCGGACTATCTATAATATTATTAAAACTCAATGGGATAACATGGTATCGTCATGTGTCATCTTTTCTTTAATATAAGAAAAATTTATTAAAAATACCACGACCTTTCATCAGTCTTCCCAAAATAAAACGACCTTTGAATTATCTCAATATAACACGACCTTTGACACATATCTTCCATAAATGAAACGTGATCGGTTGGTAACCTATTTAATAGGTTACATATGACACGTGTCAAAGTATCATTGGTCAATTTTTATATAATTTTCATTTTTTTAAAAAAAAAAAACCTTAAAATTAAAAAACTTAAAACATAAAAAAAAAAAAAAAAACCTTATTAATAATAATAATAAAAAAAAAAAAAAAAAAAAAAAAAAAAAAAAAAAAAAAACCCCACTCAGCCCTACCAGCTTTACCGCCCCTCCTCCTCCACTGCACATCCCCCTCTCTTCGCCAGCGTCTTCCTATCCCAACCCCATCGACGCTAGACCTCCCTTTGATCCCTTTTCCGGCGCCCTTTAATTCCCATCCCCGATTCCGTACCCCCTCCCATCCCTGTCCCCAAATTCGGCCCCCAATTCCTACCTTGTTCCCGATTTCGTCACCCCTCTCTACCACATTTCGATCAGATGCTATCACCTATTCACCTCCCTCTCCTTCACGCAAGCTCTCTCTACTCTCTTTTCCCATAGGTTAGGGTGTTGATTGGGTTTCAAGGGTGGAGCGGCAATTTCACGATTTTAGGAATAGATGCGGTGGTTTAGCGATGGTTTCAAGGTGATGGATGAGGATATGTACGTGGGTTTGTTTTGAGTATAAGGTGGGAGGGGGCAGACTTAGGGAGTGGGCCGGGGTTGTTTCCGATGTGGTTGGCTGGGTTGGGGTGGTTTTCGGGGAGTGTGTGGTGGAGATGGAGGTAGAGGTAGGGAGGGGATCACGAAGAAGAAGGTGGTGTTTGGTTAATTTCAATTTTTTTTTAATTAAGATCATTAATATTTTAAAAAAATCTTAACAAATAACAACAAAACACATGTCAAATGTAACCTGTAAAACAATTACCGGTTTTTTGTTCTATTTATGAAAGATATGTGTCAAAGGTCGTGTTATTTTGAGATAATCCAAAGGTCGTTTTCATTTTGAGAATACCGGTGAAAAGTCGTGTTATTTTTGACAAATGTTCCTTTTTTTTAAAGAAAAGATGACACATGGCGATACCATGTTATCCCATTGAGTTTTAATAATATTACAGATAGATATTAACCTATTGCGAGCATATACACACTTGTTTGTAATTTATAAGGACACATGATATTATATATATAGGCCAATATATTTGGGAAAACAATGTATATACTGCATCCCATTGTTCTAGTCATACAATAAAATATTCTTGTTTATTTAATTTTCTGTTTTACACAATTTCTTTTTGTTCTTACAAAATACTCCTATTATTGTTTTATTTATTTACGCAAATTTCAATGCTCATATATGCAACTGCCATAATAGCCGAATCGAAAATAAAACTAATCGAAAAAAGTTAACTCGATACACAAGGTGACTACAATCAATTTTGCTTCAACATGAAATTAAACTAATTGGCCTAATTAATTTTTGAAACAATCTGAATTAATTGACCCAAATCAAGTTAATTGAGAGATTCTTCCTTGAATAATGAAGAAGTATATACAAAATGCTGCCAACACTATCAAGGTTGATTATATTATTGTGGAATTACTTTCAAAAACTCGAATATGGGTTCAATTGAAAGTTTTAAATTAATCAGAAAAATTCAACCTAGATTTTTCGCCCTGATTAACTTAGTGATGTATTAAATCAAAACTACAACTGATACACTTATTCCTTGTACCAAACCTGTTTTCATTATTAATTAATTTTTTTTAATAGCAAAAATATTTCATTAATTAAAAGTCATACGACATCTACAATATAGATTCGACGTTAACAAATACATAAGATATTGAATCAAATAAAATTTTCCTTCATAAAAACTACGATCGTCGAGTAGATCTTGCACTATGGAACATCTTCCGCTTATATCGCTGGAAAATACAGCCTTGTTGGAGAGACAATCTAATGATCCTTTGTAACCGTGAGGATGTTATTCTTCTGATTCATCTGTATGCATTCGAAAACTTGATAACTTTTTCACCAACAAAATAATTTCACGACAATCCATTAGATTTAATATCATGGATTCAAAACTAAGAAATTTCTACCTTGAAAAGAGGAGATAAACCTTGTCTTTCGAAGGAGGTCGAAAAACCCTTGTATTTCGAAGGAGGCCGGAAACCCTTTCTTTCGAAAGAGAAAAATTCCTCTCAAAAGGAGGAAGCATTACTAGAAAACCTAAAAAAGCTTTAAAGAAACTAGGATTGGGGCTTTCCACCGGTTAAAATCGATGGAAGCTCCATTAAAATTC